AAACCACACATATGTGAGTGTTATCTTTTATACTGGGTTTGACCTATGGGGTGTTGTCTGCTGCCAAGAGGTCAGCCATCAATAGGAAAGGAGCAGGGGTAAAAGAAGTGAGTCAGAGGCTGAGCCTCAAGTGTACCACTAACTCTGGGCTGCAGTCTTCATGGCTCAGTTGCTGTATCTCTTCCTAGGAAGGAAAACTGATGGTAACTTGGTTGGATAGAGGTAAACTTGGGGCCAATTATTACAACTCCAAGTCAATCCCTCATCCCTTTGCCCACACCCCATTTCTCAATTTCTCAGAGAGGAGGCAGGACACTGGAAAGGAGCTCTGGGCCTACCCAGACTCACAGAAATTGGGACATGTCTTCATGAAGGGAGAGTGAACCAACTTCTGCTAGGGAATGAAGCAAGATCATAGGGTAGGCCACTCATACTCCAGTCCAAGCCCTGTGGTATCACCTTCTTCTCCGGGCCTCAGTTTACCTGTTTATAGTATAAAGCAGGAAGAGTCCTCCTAGCCATATAATTACGGAGAGTGAGCTGGTCATGTTAATCCAGCAGTTGGAGCCTGAGGCAGGCCAGCCTGGGCTACATAGCAGGACCTTGTCTCAAAACCAAAACTGAACACCCCAAACAAACAAACAAACAAACAAACCAAACAGGAGTTTTTGATGATCTAGAAGGGTGGCACCTCCCCCAGATGCAGACCTAATGTTTCAGTTTCTCCATCTGTAAATTGGGAAGAATGATGCCATTGTTGGTGTGTGTGTGTGTGTGTGTGTGTGTGTGTGTGTGTGTGTGTGAATGCTGGATTTCTCTGTCCAGTGGTTCCCTAGTTGCTCCATCCTCAATCAGGACTCAAAACCTCACTGCCCACCTCAGCCCAAGGTAAGCCCTAGGAATCTCCATGACAACAAACTGGTTATGAACAGGGCTGCAGTTGCCATGGTGACAGCTCTCTCTCTCTCTCTCTCTCTCTCCCTCTCTCTCTCTCTCTCTCTCTCTCCTTCTTCCTGCCCTCCCTCTTATTTTCTCATCCCCCTCCTCTATCCCCCTCCTCTCTTCTCAATGAACCAGACTCTCTGCAGGCCTCAGCTTTCCAAGTGGGTGAGAGTAGGGGTGATTCCATGGGAAGGATTTGGGTTGGGGAATGGGAAAGATAGGCTGAGTCTGCAGGGGAATAGGGAGGGGGCTGTTGGGGTGCTGTTACCATGGTGACGGGGCTGCAGCCTGTTAATTAAGCCCCCAGTTGCCATGGAGACCATGGTGGTTGACGTTCTCTGCGGCAAGCCCTATGTGTGTGGGGTGTGCTATGCGCTGGACTCATCAACTCACTGCTAAGATTTGGTTCTAGAGGATGGGCATGCAGGTACAGAGAGGGAGGGGAAGCAGAGGCCTCAGGGCCTTGACTCCAAGAGGTCACAGCTGGCAGGAGATGGGTAGGTCATGGGGGTAATATATGGAAGTAAGGATGGGTTGACTGAGCCATAAGAGGGGGACACTGTGCCTACCATCAAAAAAGATGCAGTCAATCTGCCAGCTTTCTGTGGACAGCCCCCTACCTGACTCAGGTGATGGAGCCCTGAGTAGAGGTAAGGGAGCTGGATTTTAGTTCCCAGTGTCATAGATTCAACCCATGAAGAAAATTCCTTCCATTCCATTTCTAGACTCCAATTTTACTATAAGTGGTAAGTGGAAAAATAATTTATAAAGTCTTTTCCAGCTCCCAAATCTTCACCTATGGAGGCAGCTTCACTGAGCTTTTTTTCTCTTTGAGAAACATAAGGTAGGAGGGGATATGAATTTTAGAGACTCTGAGTTCAAAAATAGGACCCTGCCCAGCTCTGCCTCTTAAATTGCTTTAATGAAAGGGCTCTGTTAGTGTTACATATTCCTAGGGCTCTGGATCCTTCCCCTGGGTGGAGAAGGGGTGCTGAGTGGGCAGTCTGGTTCCTGGGTTTCAGCTGAAGGCCACTTCTTATTGACCAAGGCCAGGCTGGCCATATAGGAGGTGCTTGCAAAGCCTCACCAAAGGGTTGGCCTGATGCTGGAAGAGGACTCCATCTTCTTGAGAGGTGTCAATTGAAGGGGCTGGGTCTCCCATTGAGATTGTTCTCTTGCTTGGTCTGAACTCCTTAGGAAGAGTGTTTCTTCTTTTTTTCTCACTATATCATTCTGTGGTTGGCTTGGAATGCCTATGTAGACCAGGCAAGCCTCAAACTTGTCATGATCATTCTGCCTCTGACTCCACCAGATTCAGCCAAAAGTTGGGTCTTTTCTCCCCAATTTTTTTTTGAAGTGATGGGGATTGAAACCAGAGCCCTGTTCCTGCTAGGCAAGCACTCTCCCACTGAGCCCAAGTTGTCCTCAGGAGTAGCTCAATGACTTTAGTCCAATACTCAAAGAAGGCAAAGAGGAATAACTTTTATTTTTCAGATGCTGATACTGACGCTCAGAGATAGGAACTTGGTTTTGCCCCGGGATGCACAGAATTCTGGGGCAGAGGACAGCACAGAGCCATCATCTTCAAAATCCCAGTTGGCTCTTGAGATCAGAACTCTAGTGAGAATTGACAGTGGGATGGTCAGAGAAACCCCTCTGGCCTTTACCTGTATTCACTAGGAATCTGAGGGTCCAATGGATAGGTTTGTCAGAGCTGCAGTAGCACTGGGCTATAGAAGCAACATGTCTCCAGGGGAACATCCCAGACCTGGGATTACTGGAAAGCATCAGCATCTGCTTTCCTCCACAGCACTTCTCAGACAAATATACTTCACATTTTACCTTGTAAAACCGTGCAGACAGTGGTGGTTGACATGCTGTACAGCATGCCCTTATGTGTATGGGGTGTGCTATCTCTGCAGAGTAATAGGACCAGTGCTGGTAGTCTGGGTGTGTGGAGTAGAGTGCTGAGAAACACTTGCACGATGACCTTTTCACAGTCTTCTCACTTTTCTTCAGTGTGTGTGTGTGTGTGTGTGTGTGTGTGTGTGTGTGTGTGTTTTACAGTACTGTGTCTGAACCTATAGCCTTAGGCATGCTAGGCAATCTATCACTGAGCTATCTTCCCAGCCCTCTAGCTACTTCCTTTAGGTTCTAATAATCTCAAATAAAATAATAACATAAAATAAAATTAAATTAAACAAAACATAAAGCTATGCCAGGACAATAAGGGAATGTTGGGAGAGCCAAGAGTACCAAATGCCTAGATCTTAAAAAAAAATTTAAATTAATTATTATCATATATGTGCACACAGGTGTGGAGATCAGAGGACAGCTTGCAGGAGTTAGTTCTCTGTATCATGTGGGTCCTGGGGACTGAACTCAGGTCATCAGACTTGCCTGTAAATACCTTTACCTATGGAGCCATCTCATTGGCCCCCAAATGCTCAAGTCTTGTCTGAATAGTTAAGTCTCCACCCCAAAGGATTTATTTACAAAACCAAGTAGCAGGGACACCTTGTTCGTGGATCCCCCAGAAGCACCTTTGAGTCCACTGTGGGAGATTCTATGGCTGCCCGAATCTGATGTCATGGACAAATTCCACAAGGCCAGCAGCCCTGGTAGTCTCTGTCCGTGGTACTGAAACGGAAACATACTGTCTTCAAATGGGAATCTCGGCAGATATGGGAGGCTCTTTCTGAATGAACCCTGAAGGTCTTCCAGATCCCTTCAGTAGCAAGCCAAGAGACCATGCTAGCCCTGCATTACTGAAACACGTGCATAAAGGGTGGAAACCTCATCCCAGACTCAGTCCTTGTTAAAATTTTTTGGAGCCAAGGATCAGAGGCCACTGAGAAGCTTAGATATGCCTGCATTCATGTCTCCTTTGTTGGAAGCAAGGCCAATTTAAAAAGAGGTTCTATTGAGGAGAGACCTAACTGGGAGTAAATAGAAATAGGTTCTAGACTGAATTCTGCCATTCATTGGTTTTTATGGCCCTAGGCAGTCATTTCCTTTCTTGGGTGCTCAGTTTTTTCATCTATGAAATGAAAGCTGTACAGATAAAATGACCAATTCTTCTGTCCTGTAACGCCTGGAATTTTGAGAACTGGTGTCAGGAAAAAGCGTGACCATGGAGCTATTTTCCCTTAATTTACTCCCACTGTAGCATGTTAGCTAGTCCAGACTCAAAGTGTCCCAACATCACTGCCACTTCCTGAAATGTTTCCACCACTGGCTCAAGCCTGGATTCTAGGGGTGCTGTGGGGTCCCAGGATGATGATGCTTCTTGGGGGAGAGGAGGTAGTTTCAGGGGATGAGGAGGGATCTAGAGAGCATGTCAGGTCTGGACGACTCAGAAAGCAATCCTGGATTAGGGGATTAGACACTCCCGCCCCTGGAGGAAATCTGGTCCCCAGCGGCAGGCAGCCTCATACCCCCCGCCCCAATCCCGCTCCTGGCCAGCCTGGGGCCAGCATGCCCTTCTTAGAGGCTGCATCATCCCCTGTGGAAAGTCAGTACTTCAGGACCTCATTGCTGTCTTCTTCTCACTGCATCACATCCATAGATCATTCCATGTCAGAAAGCCCCTGTCTGTGGCGTGGGCCTGTCTTGGGGGTGCAATACTGAGACTCCAATCAGCCTGAGCGCTAGGAGAGAGTTCTCTCCAACTCCTCCAGCAACAGCCACCCCTTTGAAAACAGGAAGGACCAGACAGACCGACTGACCTGAGACCCCTGGGGTGGCACAGTGCTTCACCCATGGGCTAAGATTCCACCTCCCTTCAGCTCCAACCTCTTGAGCAGTGACATGGGAAAGGGTCTAGTTCTCCTCCCTCCAGGCCTAGCCTCTCCAGTTTTGTAGACAGGCTCCCCAGGGCCTTATATTCCACAGCTCGCCCCTGCCGCCTCAGTCCCCCGCAGCATCTTCCCTCCAGGGGTCACCTCAGACCCCCAGTCAGGCAGCCACTGCGGGGCCGCCTCCCCGCGGCCGCGACCTAGTTCCCTGCCGTTATTTTTAGGGCGCGGGATGGCACCTGCCCACGTGCCGGGCCCCGCCTGCCCGGGAGAGTGGGAGGAGCTGCGTCTGCTCTAGGGAAGCGAGGGCCGCGTCCCCCGCAGCATCCCCTCCATCCCACCCGCGCAAGCCCCCCGTTTTCCCGGGAGGGGGCCATCAGGAGCGCTCTGCCTTCCTCTGGTCCCCTCTCTTCCCTCTCTCTGGCTCTCCCCCCGCCAAACCCCGCCAGTGGCTCACGCCTCCTGCATACGGGATGAGGTGAGCAGCGCGGCTGCTGAGAGGGGGCGCGCGCGGGTGTGAGCGTGTGTCCGTGTGCGAGTGTGTGTGCGCCGGGCGGGCGGGCACTGCAGCTTCTTCCTCCGTGGAGCTGAGAACGAGCGAGAGCTCGAGTGAGCGAGCGGCCAAGGCGGGCACTGGGGAGCAGGCGAAGCGGTGCAGCCATCCCGGGCCCGGCGCCGCGCAGCCACCATGCTCAACAACCTGACAGACTGCGAGGACGGCGATGGGGGAGCCAACCCCGGTAAGCGGTGGTCTGGGGGCGGCGGGGGAGGGGGCGGCCAGGAGGAGGCAGCCTCGGGGTGAGAGGCGGAGAGGGGGGCCGCGTCCTGCAGAAGATAGCCTGGGACTGGCCCAGGCAGTGGAAGCAGGAAGCAGTGGGAGCCTAGCTCCATTGGAATGCGCTAGGCGCTGTCCGAGGTGCTGGAATGCGCCGCGCCCGGGGGGCTGATGGGGACCCAGGGTTGTCAAGATCCGCGGCCCGGGGGCAGACTTGGGTTAGCTAAGCTTGAAGGTGGTGGGAAGGAGATGGAATAGCTAGAACGGGCTGACGTGCAGCTCGACGGGCAGGAGGGTGGCTCCTTTCCCCGAAAGGGGACCTGAGCATCCTGGCGCAGAGCGGGGACCAGTGGCTCCTGGGGGCGCAGTTTGCTGCAGTCCCTTGCTCTGAGGTTTCTAGCTGGAAGATGGGGGGAGTGGTGGCTCCAGGGTTTGGACGCATATGATAGCTCTCGTCTAGTCTGCGGTGTCCCTTAAGGGTACACTTGATGCAATCGGACCCCTCCCCCAAGGCTCCCCGAGGTCCCCATCTCAGCCTGAAGCTACCTCCTCTATAGATTTTTTGCTCTACTTTGTGGAATCTCCTCTCCCTCTCGGTTCTCTGTGGGTTCCTATTCAGGACGGGAAGCAAGATCCTTTTCATCCCTCTCCCCCCTTCTCTTGGTACCCTGGGGTGGTAGTGTGGTTTTCAGGGCGGGGCAGGATGAAGTCTTTATAGTTAGCGCTCCTAACATTCATGGTGAGGCCTCAGAAATGGGGTCCCAACAGCTGAATTCCCAGCGCCGCGGCCGCGACACTGCGGACTCGCTGCGGTGGGTGCAGACTCGCCAGGAGCTGAGGGGCTCGGGAGCAAGTCTTGTGCTGTTCCTGATCTTCCTCGTCTCCTCCAAGGTTTCCCAGCTCTGAGGTCTTGGGGCCAGTCACCTCTCGGGCTCCCAGGCCCCCGCTGCTCCCCAGCGGTCTCAGTCATCCATCACGGCCGTCGGGAGCCCCCAGCCCCCACCCTCCAGCTGTGTTGTGTCCGCTGCGCACTAGCGCGCCTCCCGCGCCTGCTGTTCAAATGCTCCCTCAGGCATTGCTTGACCCTCTGAGCCATGACTCCCACAGACCTCTCAGGGAGATGACCCAAGGGGCCTAAGAGATGAAAGCGTGATCTCGCAGACACAGGCAGTTTTTGACTCCGTGGTTTTTGATTTTGGATCCTAGTCAGGGCCAAGAGGAGGCTCAGAAAGGCTGGGGTCACCAGGGTTCCTGATCTTTTGTCAGAGATACCCCTTTCCCATACTTCCCTGGGGCTGAGTCCTATAGTGGGGATAGAACTACCATTGGTCAGTTCATCCATCTCTTCAGTGACCCTGGGGTCACCTCACCAGGCAGTTACCACCCCCCACTCCCCCCACCCCGACTGCAAGGGGAGGGAGTTGTCAAAGTCAGATTGCTGCAGCTCCAGGCATCTTGAAGCACTGCTCAGGGAACAAGGGGAGAAGAGATGTCACTTCCTTCCGGAATCTCCCTCAGATGCCTCCACTCTGAGACAGGGCCTCAGCAAGAAGAAGTGATTCTCTCTCTTTCTCTCTCATTCCCCCCTCCACCAGACCTGGGATCGGTGGATTCCCCAGCACCTACCTCCTCTAGTAACCTTCAATGGGCCTTGATATTTCCTTGGGGTCTCCACAGGGCTAGTAATGGGGCATGCATGTGTTGGGAGCAGGATCCTAACTAGGAACGCTTTCCAGTTCTCGCCCCTCCTGGTTAGTTTCTAGACACTGACTGTAGCTGGCACATCTGGAGACCTATATATAGGGTCCAGCACTTGGAATTAGAGTGGCCAGAACATGGGTCAGGTATTCTAGGTCCCAAAGGGGAAAGATCTTCCCTGGATGCTTTGAGAAGGTGGTTAGGAGGGCGCTAAAGACTTTATGGGTGTGAAGATAAGACCAAGAGCCTCTGACTCTTTCCTTGGAGCCACATGGAAGGATCTGGGCACTGATCACATGGAGAGTAAGAGGCTCCTCAGGGCCAGAGGTCCCAAGGATTTGTCCCTGCTATCCAGATCTCCTTTCCCCTTGGGATCTGGCGCCCCATTCCCCTCCCCAAGCTGTCCTGGGGATTCCCCCAGGCCCAGCCCCAGGCCCCGAGGGAGGCTCCTTAGCTTGCGCTGCTCGCCTGTTTCCACCCGGGGAGCTCTGGCCGCTGCAGCTTAATTGAAAGCCGATTCAGGCTGAGAGCTCCCAGGGGGCGGGGGCAGGGAGGGCTCAGCCTGGGTCTGGCCAGCCCCTCCCGGCGCCATTTGGCACTCCCCCATCACCCAGACTCCTGGCACTGGGGAATGAGGAATAGTTTTCCCTTTGCTGTTCAGTTCCTTTGAGAACGCAAAAGCTTACTCCCCATCCCCCTTAACTAGTGAGCCCTGGCATTCCAGGGAGAGGGCAAAAATCAGTCCTTGGCTGACAAGGCCGGGAGCCTGGCGTCCCGCCCAGGCAGCGGATGGAAAGGCGGGACCCAGGACGAGCCGACCAGGCCGCCCCCTCCCCTGCCCTCCTCTGCTGGCCGGGATCCTGCTTGTAGTCTGGCTCTGCGCTGCGCGCCGCGTTACATAAGCGGCTGCGGGCGCGTGGCCGGCTCGGATCCGCGCTGCGCTGTCGGCCCTCGCGGTCACCATGGAGACCGGCCCAGCCACCTAGTTACAGGGTCTCCGGCCAGGATGCCCCCTTCCCGCCCCCTGTGTGCCACCCGCCCCAGCAAAGGCTTGAGAGGGGGCGCGAAAGACAGTGAGAGGGGGCTTTCCTGGATCTAAGAGAGAGCACTTCTGAGAGAGGCACCCAGCCCCACAGAAACATAGCAGCCCTTAAGTCTTGCAGCTAAGAGAAGGGTGTGTGATGAGTTCAGGCTGGGTGAGAACCAGTTATGTTAAGAATCTTAGTTGCCAAAGTAGCAATAGCAATACCGTGTCACCACAGCGTGAAGTGTTGCAGTTGATCCCCTAACCACTCTACAGGTTAAGCCTGGTCAATATCATTTTGCCTTGCAAGAGTGACTTGGCCTGCCTGCAGACAAGCAGACCTGGGAAGCTAGGGTCTGAAGCTGAGATTTCCCAACTCTAGCCCTTTTCCTAACCATTAGGGGATTTTTTTTCTAGTGCCCATGAACCTCTCTGGTCTCCACCTTCCTGTAGTGAGAACAGCAGGCATTTGGTCAGCATTTTAAAAGGAGAGGGAACCTGTCTCTCTCTTACTTCTCCTGTTCTCTTGGCCTTGGACAGATCTTTTGAGATTCTGTGGTTTGAGAGGGGCACCCAGGGTAATTGACCTCCATAGACTATTTTCCTGAGCATCTATTATGTGCTGGGCTCCCATGGAGGAGGACAGGCCCAAGAATTCACTTGAATGAGAAGAGCTGCTCGTGGGTTTCTGCTAGGCAATCAGGTGTTTTTGCCTTGATGGGCAAGGTGGGTGCTGTGGAGTACATGAGACATTGTTTCTTTCCCTGCCCCAGTTTTCAGACAAATGGAAACAAGTCATGCTCTGGAGATGGGCCCCTGGCTGGGTGACTGAAGAAGGCCTCCAGGAGGCAGGGAGAACGGTGCAGAGGGTTGGACAGCTGAGGTGGGCAAGGAAGGCCGAGAGATGAAGAGACAGGAGACTCAGGGTTATAGGGGCTCAGTTTCACTTGTGCTTGTTCCCTGGTGAGTGTCTGTAGAATCTGTCTGCTGGGCACTCAGCTCTGCTGCGGAGGGAGGTTGATGCACTGCGCTCAAGAAAACCTCATATCTTTATGGAAGGGCCCATCTCTGTCACCAAGAGGCTTTCTCCTTGGCTTCGCATATTCCCTATGCACATTCACACGGTCACCCCGGCCCCTTTTCTCATGAAGCGCTTTACTGGGTATTGTCTGCTCCATATGCCCAGGGGGCTTCCTGACCCTGTGGTACCTCAGTTCCAGCTAAATTCAGCATCTTTCCCACCCTCTTCCACTCTTCCAGTTCATTAAGTAGCATCACACTATTCAGCAATGCTAGAAACCCCAGGCATTATCCTAGATTCTTCCCTCTCCTTCCTCAAACATCTGGCATAGAAATGTGCCCACATTTCTTGAGTGTCTCCATTACTTCACATTGTTATGGCCTGGGTCATTGTCAGCCTTGGGCTGGATTACTGAAACTCTTGTTACTGTGTTTCTCACTTAAAGCCAGAACATGTGCTGCAAAACCCAAGTCTGGTCATGACCCTCCTTGACCTAAAACTTCAGTAGCTGCCCTTGTCCTCGGGATGAAGACTAAGTTCTTCAAGGTGGCCTGCTACTTCTTTAGGGACTCACAGCACTCTGACCTGTCCAGGCTCTTCTTTTCCCAAGCCACTAGTCTTTAGTTCCCAATATGCCCCTTCTTCAGTCTCCAGCCACATCAGGCTTTGTTTGGCATGATCACTCTGTTGGCTGCCACCTCTGGCCATCAAACTTATTGTTCTGAGTTCTCTCTGCTTGGTGCCCTCCTGCCAGCCTCCCAGTCTAGCCCTTACTCATTCTTTAGCTCTCAAGAGACACGTCACTTCCTTTGGGAAGCCATCTGTGACCTCCCAGGTTGGGCTGCATGCCCTCCTGTGTTCTTGCTGTGCCTTGTTCATTTCCTTCACAGACTTTACCTGCTCACTTCTTCCTTTTCCTGGCCATGGATTGGTTCCTTAAGGGCAGGGACAGTGTTGTAGTCTGTTTTATCTCTCCACTGCCCATTCTCATTGGCACATGGTAGACTGAGAGTGAATGGGGGGATAGAGATGCCAAAAGCACATCATTGGGGGCTCAGGCTACAGGGTTCTCTACCTTCCTCCCCAGCAAAGAGCATGCACCCATTACCAGGATGGGTTCATTTCTATTGAAGAAGAGAACTCTAGAGTCTTGAAGTGTTCTGATGGATGACATTGGACCCTCAAGAACAGAGAAACACTCACATGGTCATTAAGCACCCAGGTCGTGCCAGGACTGGGCTCTTTATACATGCTGCCAACCAAAATCCTGCAAAGAAGGCAGCGTAAGCCCCATTTCTCTGCATGTGACCTGAGGTTCAGAGAGTTAAAACAGCTGTACAACTGTATGCAGGGTAAACAGAGGACGAAGTGGTCAGTACCAGACCCCTGACTCCTCTCCTCCTCAGGTGATGGCCACCCCAAGGAAAGCAGTCCCTTCATCAACAGCACCGACACAGAGAAGGGGAAGGAATATGACGGCAAGAACATGGCCCTGTTTGAGGTGGGCTGCCTGGGCTGCAGTTGGTCACTCTGGCTCAACAGTGCCCCTCCCTCCCTCCCTCCCTCGGGTCCTTCTTCTTCCTTGGCCTGTTTCCCTCCTTGGCTCTTTCCTGACTTTACCCCCTCTGTTCGCTGCTCTCTTCTGTCTCACCATCCCCTTTCTTTATCCCCCTGCTTCTTTCATTCCCATCTCATCCCAACATCAGTGTCTTGACCTGTGTCCCCATCTCTACCATCCAGCTCACTCCAGCTCCTGCCTTGACCCTCCAGCTTCCTAATACTGACCTTCTTACTCTGTAGGAGGAGATGGACACCAGCCCCATGGTGTCCTCCCTGCTCAGTGGCCTCGCCAACTATACCAACCTTCCCCAGGGAAGTAGAGAGCATGAAGAAGCAGAGAACAATGAAGGTGGCAAGAAGAAGCCGGTGCAGGTGGGAGAAGGGATAGGAGAGGGAGTCTGGGGGAGGAAATCGGATCTGGATGGAAGGGTGAATGATCAAGCAAAGCGAGGGGAGGTGGCCACTTGGGAAATGGAGGATGGAGATGGAGGGGAGGAGGAAGGAAGTGGTTTGAAGGATGGATGAGGGAGGTGGAGGGAGGGGATCTGGAGGCTGGTGGAAAGGGAGAAAAGGATGTAAGAATCAGGGGGAAGAGGGACAGAGGGAGGGGAAGGTGAGGGAGGAGAGGTAGGGAAGGAACATGGAGGAGGTATGGGTTGGGGTGTCAGTGGTGAGTAGGGGGTGCAGAGACTGACGTTGGCCTCCCTGGCAGGCCCCACGCATGGGCACCTTCATGGGCGTGTACCTCCCATGCCTGCAGAACATCTTTGGCGTCATCCTCTTCCTGCGACTCACTTGGGTGGTGGGCATCGCAGGCATCATGGAGTCTTTCTGTATGGTCTTCATCTGCTGCTCCTGTGTGAGTGAAACTCTCCCTTTCCCAGCACACAGCTGGGGCTTGGCAGAGGCCTGGGTGGGAGGTGGGGAGGGTGGAAGCATAAGACCTGAGCTTTTTATAGGAGCCATAGCTTATGATCTTTGAGAGTGAATTAGGGCTGACTAGCCCTTCCTCACAGGCTTTTCCCTGATAGGCATCACCAGGTTTCACCTCTCTCTCTCTCTCTCTCTCTCTCTCTCTCTCTCTCTCTCTCTCATTGCACAAGTAATGCAGATTCATTGATAAAAATGATAAATGCTGAAAAAAGATTAAACATAATTGCATAAGAGTTAACATTTTGGAAGGTCCTGACTCACAAAAAATGAGATTATGCCTCACAAATAGTATTGCAACTAAATTCTTCCCATCCTCACTGAAAAAAATCAAGTATTTACTGAATCCCAAACTCTCGACACATTTCCATGACTTGACGCATAGGCATGAGATGGCTCTGCATGTGAGGATGCCAGTATGGAGGCTAGCACTCCCATTTTATAGATGAACAGACTGAGGCTGGAGAACTGAAGTGAATCATCTCAGGTCATAAGCTACCCAGGGCCAAGCTTGGGTTTCCAGAGCTTGCTTCTGCTCCTCGCATTTGCATGGTGAATAAGAGATTCTTTTTTGAGAAGAAGAACTTGGCATGAGTAGAAGTTGGAACAGGCCCAGGGAGAAGCTCAGCTGAAGAGAACCTGTGGGTATGGCTGGTGGTTGTGGGAATACTGGTGTGGCCTCTGTCCAGGCCATTGCAGCCCCCTGTGGCCTCCCACACTGATGCTCTCCTTCCTACAGACGATGCTCACAGCCATTTCCATGAGCGCCATTGCAACCAATGGTGTTGTGCCTGGTATGTGACTGGGACTTTTGGAAAAGGGGGGGAAGGGGCAGGGATCTGATGATTGGCAGGGACCCAAGACCCAAGACAGTATTGCAGACCAAAAGCTGGGCTACAGCTGTTCATGGGGTAGGCAGGAGCGGCCCTGTTGGGGGTGGAGAGGGAGGTAGTTGCTGGTGTTGAATAGGGCAATGGCCATCCTCCCCTCAGCCTGAGACCCTCTGCTCCACCATCTTATTTTCTGAGCCATGACCTCCTTACAGAGGTAATTAGCAACATGGTAATTAGTGCTGTAAAATCTATGCAGAGTGGTTGGCTGGGTCTCCCATAGTCTGCCTTTTGGAACTGTAGCCCAAGCCCTAGAAAACCTTTCTGTCCTCTGTCTCCGAGCAACCCCTTGACCCCCGAGCAGCCCTGGGCCTTTTGACCCTCTCGCTGATACTAGTTTTTTTTTTTTTTCTGCAGCTGGTGGTTCCTACTACATGATTTCCAGGTCTCTGGGCCCAGAGTTTGGGGGTGCTGTGGGCCTGTGCTTCTACCTGGGCACTACCTTTGCTGGGGCCATGTATATCCTGGGCACCATCGAGATCCTTCTGGTAAGAGGGGCAGAGGAGGAGGCATGGGGTCCCCGGCCATCAGACACTTAACCAGTGTTTTCCTGGATACCTGCCATAGGCCAGGCCATTCTGTAAGGCTAAAAAGAAGTCGGATGTGGTCTATCTTGAAAGAGTTCCCAGTCTAGTTGGGGAGACAAGATACGATAATTATGTAACACAAACATCTGTGGTTTATCAGGCACCCACTGAGCTCTCATCACAGCTCCAAGTGCTTTACAGTCATTATCTCCAATCCTTAGAGGTTTAAGAGTTATGATGGCATTTTACAAATGAGAAGCTCAGAGAGGCAGACCACTAGCTCAAGGTCACTCAGCTACCAGAGAGATGGCAGAGGTGGGCTGAAGACTTAAAATAATGAAGTAGGACAGTCTATCACATGCCAGGGACTGTACGAAGTACTTCATGAATGCTAGTCGCCAGGACCTGATGGTTCTTGGATTGCAAAAGAGAACTTCGAGGGACCTGTGTAAAGAGATCTGTTAGGAGTTGACTGATGGGGAGAGACTGGGTGTCTGGGCTGTGTTTGAAGGACAGGGTTACCGCTTAGGTTCTTGCTCTTCCTGCCCCCAGTACGGGTGGTTGCTGAGGGCTCCTTGGTTTATAGAAGGAGGGCTGGGGCATAGCTTGGTTGGTACATGCACAAAGCCATGACTTTGATCTCCAGAACTACATAAGCTAGGCTTGATGGCACATGCCTGTAGTCTTGGTGCTTGGAGGTGGAAGTGGGGGATCAGAAGTTTGAGATTATCCTTAAGCTACATAGTGAATTCAAGGCTAGCCTAGGCTACATGAGACCCTCTCACAAGTGAAAAGAGAAGAAAAAAGCAGAGCTGGCATTTTCTAAGCCCCTAAGAGTCCTTTGCAAGCCCTAAGATTTGCAGAAAATTTTCTCACAAGTTCCTACTGTGTCAGAAGATGGCCATTTTTGAGACAGGAAGGCCACATCAGAGTAAGGAACAGGTGGAGGGATTTGAGCCTTCATCCCTCCGACCTCCAAGGTCTGTACTGGTCACTGCCTCACAGCCTTGGAGAATCAGAACTAACAGGCCAGCGCTTCTGGTTTGGGGGCAGAACAAGAAATTAGATATTGGGAGACTGTTGAGAAATAGAAGGCTCAATGAGGCACTGGTCATTGAATCAGGCGGTTTTTGTTTGTTTGTTTTAATGTAAAAGTGACTTCAAAATGTGTTACCGAACAATTCTACCCATTGTATGAAATTAGAAAAATATCAAAGTAAAAAAGTCAAAAAGGAAAATGAATCCAAGGACAAGCATGTTTTAGTGTGTTTCTTTCTAGTTTTTGTTTTTCTATATGATAGTATGTTCAATCTTTATAAAATATGACTCTATAAATATTTCCTTAAGAACCTGAAAACTCTCTTTAAATATAAATAAAAATATATTTATCAGTGAAAATAACTTGCAAGAATATAAACATTCTAAGTTTGGTATATGGATTTTAGTAAATGTGGACATGCAAAAGAATAATTATTCATATTTTAATTATTTGATGTAAATTTCCATTGATTTTTGTTTTCTTTTTAAAAAGAATTTCTAAAAAATATTTTATTTTTATTTAATGTATATGAGTGTATTGCTTGCATATAGGTAAGTGCACCCATGTCATGCAATGCCCTCAGAGGTCAGAAGAGGGCGTTGGAGCCCCTGGAACTGGAGTTACAAATGGTTGTTAGCCACTATGTGGGTGCTGGGAATCGAACCTGGGTCCTCTGCAAAAGCAGTCAATGCTCTTAATTGTTGAGTCAGCTTTCCAGCCCTGTTTGCTTGTTTTCTTAAGACAAGGTCTCACTATATAGTCTAGGATGGTTTTACACTGGTGATTCTCCTGCCTCAGCCTCCCAAGTTCTGGGATTACAGACGTGCCTGGTAGTGTTGACATTTGGATACACCTACAAACACATACAACCACACACATAAATATTTTCACATACAAGTTTCCAAAAATGAGATCACAAGACATTTTTTAAAGGAAATTTGACTTTGTTCACCTAATATACTATGGATGATTTTTAGATTCTTGAGACAGGGTTTTGCTATATAGCTCAGGCTGGCTTCAAACTCATGATCCTCCTACACATGACCAGCCATGGATAGCTTTTGAGTTGGTTCACATAAATCCATATGTTGTTATTGTTGTTACTATTTATTATTCTGGGGATTGAATTTAGGACTTGTATGCATGTTGAGCATACACTCTATCACTGTACCATGTTTGAAGTCCCATGCCATCTTTTAAAATAGCTTTAAGGTTTATGTGGCAATTCCAAGTTTTATTTACCCAACCTTTAGGAATGAACATCCAATCAGAAAAAAAAAAAAATAATGAACTGGGTGTGGTGGTGCACGCCTTTAATCCCAGCACTTGGGAAGCAGAGGCAGGTGAGTCTTTGTGAGTTCGAGGCTAGCCTGGTCTACATAGTGAGTTCCAGGATAGCTGGGGCTACAAGGAGACCCTGTCTCAAAAAGACAAAAAAAAAACCCCAAAACAAAACAAAATAATAATGGTAATAATTATTATCAGAATAGGAATGAAGACTCTCTCACAACATCTTTGGGTGCCATTTTCAATGACTACATCATAGACCTGACAGGGTAGGCCATGCCTCCCTTAACCAGTCCCCTGCTAATGGATGTCACTTACTGTCTTGCACTACTGTAATGTGCTAGGCATCCTTTCCTCCCAAAGGCCTGCCTGTACTCCACATAATTTCCCTGGGATGGCTCTCAGATGGCCTTTACTGGGTCACTCATCTGACCTCCTCTGCCCCTTTCCTGCAGGCCTATCTTTTCCCAGCTATGGCCATCTTCAAGGCAGAAGATGCTAGCGGGGAGGCAACAGCCATGCTGAACAACATGCGGGTATACGGCACCTGTGTGCTCACCTGCATGGCCACCGTGGTCTTTGTGGGTGTCAAGTATGTCAACAAGTTTGCCCTGGTATTCCTGGGCTGTGTCATCCTCTCCATCCTGGCCATCTATGCAGGGGTCATCAAGTCTGCCTTTGACCCACCCAACTTCCCGTGAGTGCTGTCTCTCTGAACCTAGGGGATTGCTTGTGTTCCTCTCCCAGGCCCAGCTGAGGTCTGCATAGCAAGCAATGTCCCCTCCTCCCCTCTCAGAACTGCAGTGGTATGGGTTGGGAGCAACCTCCCTTGGTAGAGAAAAAGTTTCCTGTTTGAGAGGAGTGGCTACAGGGTGGGATAGCGTCTGCTTGCTGGTGGGTGACTTAGGAGGGTTAAATGGAAATGGTTCCGGGAGGAATACCCTCTGAGTGGTAGGGAAAGTTTTCTGTATGGATCAGCCTGCTGCTGCAGTGCAGTAGCCCCTTAGTTACTGATCTTCCCCAGGATGGGAAAGAACTTAAAAGAGAGGGCCCCAGGGCTCAAGTCCCCTTTGGTTCTGGTCTATTGCGGAGGCTGAGGTCGAGGCCGCTGTCCACGGTGCTGAACACAACATCTCCCACTATACCGGTTCTTCACCTTACCAGAATGTGGTGCTTTGTTAGTTTTTTTTTTTTTTTTTTTTTTTTCTTTTTTTTTTTTTTTTTTTTTTTTTTTTTTTGCTGTTGTTTGTTTGTTTTTGTTTTTGCTTTTTTTTTGAGGAAGGGTCTCCCTGTAGCCATGTAGCCCCATATGGCCTGGAAATCTCTATGTAGACCAGGCTGGCCTCAGTCTCACAGAGATCTGCCTGCCTCTGCCTCCTGAGTGCTGGGATTAAAGGTGTGGGCCACCACATCTGGCTCTGCATGTGCCTTTAAAGCTCCCCCAGTGGTTCTATAATGAAACCAGGGCAAAGTCCTTGTTCCTTCCCATCTCGCTTGTTTCTCTCCCTAGGATCTGCCTCCTGGGGAACCGCACACTGTCTCGCCATGGCTTTGATGTCTGTGCCAAGCTGGCTTGGGAAGGAAATGAGACAGTGACCACACGACTCTGGGGCCTTTTCTGTTCCTCCCGCTTCCTCAATGCTACCTGTGATGAGTACTTCACCCGAAACAACGTCACAGAGATCCAGGGCATTCCTGGTGCTGCCAGTGGCCTCATCAAAGGTCTGGGGGAAGGAAAAGGGCTAGCATCTAGGGAGTGTTACAGGGGTTGTAGGCTAAGTGATCAGGATAAGGGGCCTTCCTTGGGATTCAGTTAAACCCAATCAGCTTTAATTGACCATCTACTCTAGGCCATCTTCTGTTCTAAACATTATTCAGGGGGTAGAGATGAAAATGTGGAAAGCACTTCAAATTGTTAGGAAAGAAAGTCAACAATTTAATAAGTATTTACTATCTACTAAGTACTTAACACTGTGCTAAGCACTGAAGCCAGAAAATACATAAGTCACAGTCTTGGGCCTAAGGGGCTTCAGTGATAGATAGATAGATAGATAGATAAGAAAATAAATTATGACTCATATAGATGTATATTCAATGAAACAGAGGAACTGAAGGGACAGAGTATTCATGTGTATCAGGTGACAAGAACAGGCTTCCTGTATTCACCAAGGAGGGTTTTGAAGGACAAATAAGAGATTGTCAGTTATACTGGGGGAATAAGGGAATCACAAAGCAAAGAACAGCTTGCTTAATATGTGAAACCATGAAAGGGCAGAGTGTGTCCTCCCAACCACAAATCACTCAGTGTGACTTGGGGTGTGATGTGCAAAGGAAGGAGGGCAGGGAATGATGTTGGAGAGGATGGAACCAGCCACGTTGTGGCGGGTCTTGGAAGACATGCTGAGGAATCTGGGATACATCATGAATGCAGTGGGGGTCCAGGAGGAGGCAGATACTGTGAGCTCAGGAGAGACATGACTTTTCTGAGCTACAGTGATGGGGGAGGGTGTCCATGGGACTGGAGTAGGGCTTCTCAACCAAGGATATTGCTGTTTTTTTCTGCTCAGGAGGTATTTGACCATATCTGTATGTGTGCATTTTAATTATTTATTTTGTGCCTGTGCTTGTGTGTGTGTGTGTGTGTGTGTGTGTGTGTGTGTAAGTACATGCCACAGTGTGCATATAGAGGTCAGAGGACAACATGCTGGAGTTACGTCTTTCCTTCCAGCATGTGGGTCTCAGGGACCAAACTCTGGTAGTCAGGTTTGGTTGGAGGTACATTTACCAACACTGCAATCTTGACAGCCCCTGGAAATATTTTTTTGGTCATTAAAACTGGATGGGCACTACTGGCATTTAGTTGGTATGGTCTAGGCTATTGCCAATCACCCTGCAGGGCTGTTGGACAGCTCTCCACAGCAGAGTTGCTGGGCCCCACAGGTCACTAGTGCCAAGGTAGAGGTACCCTGGAGTGGGGAGAAGAAGCATGTTTGAGAGGTGCTGCTGAGTGGGAACATAGAAGCCAGAGGTGCTGTGATGCAGGGGAAGAACAGGAGGAACTGAGGGAAGTGCCAGGTGTTTAAGTTGATGTTGGTGCCATTACCAAGACAAGTGATGCAGGAACAGCTTGGGGTTGGGGGATAATGTCATCTGGGGACATATTGAGTCCATCTCAGAGAGAATGTTGTATGCATGTCCCATAGGATTGGACTAGTCAAGGGCAAGGACTATGTTCCATTTATCTTTGAAATCTGTGTCCAAGCAGGAATTTAGGAAATGGTGGAAATTAATACCAGCCAAGGCCAGTGACAGGAACTGTGATTTGGTTGATCTTGACTTTTTACCCCCTTCCCCTTCTGTCCCCAGAGAGCTCTGGTTCCTTGACTTCTGGTGTTCTCCCTGATCACTCCATCTCCCCACAGAGAACTTGTGGAGCTCCTACCTGACCAAGGGGGTGATTGTGGAGAGGCGTGGGATGCCCTCTGTGGGTCTGGCAGATGGCACCCCTGTTGACATGGACCACCCCTATGTCTTCAGTGATATGACTTCCTACTTCACCCTGCTGGTTGGCATCTACTTCCCTTCAGTCACAGGTGAAGGGGAGCCCGGAGAGGGAGGCCTCTGCCTGGGAGTGGATGGGCAGGACAGTCAAAGACAAGGATAGGGGTTCTTAGTCTGAAGACCCCACCACCTAAACAGTTCAGGCCCATTGTAGTGATGAGGGAATTGGGCTAGAAAAAGCCACATACCATGCCCAAGATCTTACAGGAGCCAACATGTCAGGGTGAGGTGCCTGGTTCTCAACTCTGAGCTGTGTCCTTTCTCCTCAGTCCAGTGGCTTTTTCATGGCCCTGGCTGCTGTCTAAACTGCTCTTCTTCCTACAGGGATCATGGCTGGCTCAAACCGCTCTGGAGACCTTAGAGATGCTCAGAAGTCCATCCCTACTGGGACTATCCTGGCCATTGCCACCACCTCTGCTGTCTGTATCCTGTACAGCTGGGCTGAGGCCACCCTGGGTGGGGACTGCTGTGGGAGGCGCTGAGGTTGTCACCTTCCCCAGTGGCTTGGGACAGGTGGTGGGGGACACTGCCATGCTGGGAACCCTCCTTCACTCTCTACCACAGACATCAGCTCTGTTGTTCTGTTTGGGGCCTGCATTGAGGGGGTTGTCCTACGGGATAAGTAAGTAAAGGAATTGGGGTTGGTCCTGTTTGGGGGGTGGAGGGGGGTCAGGAGGCTGAGTTCTGAAAATCAGACATAGCAGGGGGCTAGACCTGAGCAAGGGGCCTAGGGGTGGGAGACTACTGCCACATTCACCTTCTTTTTAAAATTATTATTATTTTGGTCTTTTTGTTTTTGTTTTGTTTTGTTTTGAGACAAGAGTCTCCCTGTAGCCCCAACTGGCCTGAACTCGCTATGGCAGACCAGACTGGCATTAAACTCACAGAGATCCCCCTACCTCTGCCTCCTGAGTGCTGGGATTAAAGACATGCACTACCACGCCTGCCTTTTTTTTTTTTTTTTTTTGTTGTTCTTTTTTGAGACAGGGTCTCTCTGTAGCCCCAGCTGGCCTGGAACTTACTATGTAGACTAGGCTGACCTTGAACTCACAGAGATCTGCCTTCCTCTCCCTCTGGAGTGCTAGGATTAAAGGTGTGTGCCACCACACCCGGCTCTTTTTAAAATTATTTTTATTCTATATGTATGAGTGTTTTGCCTGTATGATGTAAATGCACCTATGTTGTACAATACCCCTGGCGGTCAGAAGAGGGTGTTGGATCCCCTGGAACTGGAGTTACCGATGGTGTTAACCACCATGTGGGTGCTGAGAATTGAACCTGAGTCTTCTGCAAGAGCAGACATTGCTCTTAACTTCTAAGCCATCTCTCCAGCCCCTTATTCACCTTTTTACGTTATAGTTTATCTTGCTTGTGTCTCTCAAGTTCAAGAAGCTCAAAAGATGTCTCCTTCAGTTGGGATGATACTGTTGTTTACAATCTATTAATTCATTAATTCACCTAACATTTCTCTGTGTTAGTCACTGCCCAAGGTTCTGGGGGAAGCAAAGATGACAGCTTTTGTCTTGAAGGAGCTCTGTAGGGTGGTGACCACATTTAAAAACAAGAGGAATGGCCATGAGGAAACTCAGGGGCTACAGGGAGCACACAGGCGCACTGTGACCTGATCAGCTGAGGAATTCTCATGAGTTATGTTAGTCTTAGGGTAGTTTGGCCTCCATTTACTTCACTTAATCATGGACCTCCCATGAGATTGCCAGAGGTCTAGCAGGTCCTTCATCTTCAGCCCTGTATCTGGTCTTTAGAATTCTTCAGCAATGGCTCCTTTGAGGAGGCGCTGGAAGGGCTTTTACATATTACAGTTGGTCCTGCACCAACCATGGGTGATAAGCATTTGATCAAATTACATCAGCACCGAACTTGTACAGATGCTTCCTGTCACTGTTCCCTAACAATACAGTGTAACACTAGCTCTGTAATGCTTCCAATGTATTAGGTGTAAGTCAACAGAGACGATTTAGAGATGCCATTTCAGGTCAGAGCTGAGCAACATAGAATTTTGGCATCCTGGGAGCAGGGATCCTGGAACAGATCCCCACAGATACTGAGTAACACTTGTCTCTTACCCTCTCCACTTACCTTTCTAAATTAATAAAAAATTGAGATAGAGTCTCCCGATGTAGACTAGGCTGGCCTTGAACTCACAGCAATCTGCCTGCCTCTGCCTTGCAAGTGCTGGGGTTAAAGGTATGCGCCACCATGCCCGGCCCACATAAAATTTTAAATTATTATTAATAATATTGTTTGTGTGTGTGTGTGCATGCGTGTGTGCATGCGTGTGTGTGTGTGTGTGTGTGTGTGTGTGTGTGAAGGTGCATGTGTGCCATGGCACATGTGTGGCAGTCAGAGGATAACTTTCAGGAGCTGGTTCTCTCCTTCCAGCATGGGTTCTGAGGATTGAACCCAGGTTGCCAGGCTTGAAGGGCGAGCACTTTAACCTGCTGAGCCATCTCACTGTCCTCTCTAAAATTTCATTTTACTCTAAAAGTTTCCTTTCCACTTTTAATGTTGAGTACAGATTAGGCAACAAAGAGGAGGAGGGGCATTCTGAGCAGTGGGCACAGTTTCTCTGCATGTGTGTCTCTGTCTGTCTGTCTCTAACTCTCTGTCTCTGTGTGTCTCTGTGTTTCTGTGAGTCTTTGTCTCTCTCGCTCTCTGTGTGTGTGTCTCTGTCTGTCTCTGTGTGTGTGTGTCTGTGTGTGTGTGTCTGTCTCTGTTTCTTTTTCTTGCTCTCTCTGTGTCTGTCTCTCTGTGTGTGTCTCATCTGTCTGTCTCTGTCTCTGTGTGTGTCTCTGTCTGTCTCTGTGTGTGTGTGTGTCTGTCTCTGTGTGTGTGTGCATGTGTGTCTCTCTGTCTCTTTTTCTCTGTCTCTGTCTCTGTGTGTCTGTTTGTCTGTCTCTATGTGTGTGTGTCTGTCTCTGTGTGTGTCTCCATCTCTGTCTCTCTGTGTGTGTCTCTTTCTCTGTGTATGTGTGTGTGTGTGTGTCTGTTTCTCTCTGTCTCTGTCTCTGTGTGTCTGTCTGTCTCTATGTGTGTGTGTGTCTGTCTTTGTGTGTGTGTGTCTCTTTCTCTGTGTATGTGTGTGTGTGTCTGTCTCTGTGTTCCTGTGTTCTTGTGTGATGATTTGGATGAGTGCAGGTGTGTGCTTTGTGTCTGTGTGGATAGGACGAGCCCATGCTGGGACTAGTTCATGGCTCTGGAAGGGAGTAGGGATCAGTGTCCCTGCTGGGTGCCTAAAGGCCCTGGTCCCATCAGCATCTACATCCACTTGGGCCTCACAAGGCCATTCTTGTCAATAAAACCCAGACACACCCCTCTGTGGACAGCATCCCCTGTGGACAGAGCCTGCTCTTAGGAAATGTGTGTGTCTCTGTCTGTGTGTGTGTCTCTGTGTGTGTGTATGTGTGTGTCTCTTTCTCTCTCTGTGTGTGTGTGTGTGTGTGTGTGTGTGTGTGTGTATGCCCCATGATTCACATGTGGAGGTCAGAGAATAACCTTTGGGAATCTTTTCTCTCCTTCTGCCGTGTGGGTCTCAGGGATGGAACTTAGCTCATCAGGCTTGGTGGCAAGTATCCTTACCAGCTGAGCCATCTCACTGGTTCCTTTCCTTTGACTCTTACACCATTAGCACATGATGAGGCCAAAGCTCTCATATTTCACATGAAGACACTGAAATCCTATCAAGCCAAGTGATTTGCTCAGGAATGTAATATTAAAAACTGACCATTTATTATAATCACATCTGTGCCTGTTTTGGGCACAGCACTAAGTGTTTTGCATCTTGTCATCTCTGGTCTCTCACTGTTGGTGTGAGACAGGTACATAGTGATGCTCATCTTACAGCAGAGGAGGCTCAGTGATGTGCTCAGTGTCACACAGACAGGAAGTGCCAAGGATATTTGGGGTCTTGCCTCTCCTCTGACCCCTGTGGTCAGCATACTGCTGGCCCTGCCATTAGTGTGGGGAGAACTAATCTGGAAATGCAGGCAATACTGCTCAACCAGCGTCTCTGTCCCCTCCTGTCTCATTCCAGGTTTGGGGAAGCTGTGAATGGCAACCTGGTGGTGGGTACCTTGGCCTGGCCATCTCCCTGGGTCATTGTCATTGGCTCCTTCTTCTCCACCTGTGGAGCTGGGCTGCAGAGCCTCACGGGGGCCCCACGCCTGCTCCAGGCCATCTCTAGGGATGGCATTGTGCCCTTCCTGCAGGTCAGTGCTACAGGAGAGCTGCCCCATCCAGGAGATCAGCCAGCCAGACCCCTGCCCAGGAGATACCGAAGCAGGGTCATTACCAAACTTGAACTCCCTCCTGGGTACTGCTCCACACCTGAACTAAAGAGAAGGGGGCTGTAGTTGCGATTTGGCCTGTGACCCATGTCATCTCTGAGTATTTTCTGCTCTTAGCGGAACCATAGCTGGCTCTTCCCCAGACCTAGTAGGTAGTCGGGGACTCAGAGACTCAGTGAAAAGGCAAGAAAAGGCTGGCTTGGTCCATGGAGCACACAGGTGAGGTCCTGATAGCTCCTCACCTGTTTTCCTTGAGCCTCTTTCCCATCAGGGGTCATTTTAAGCATCTCTGCATGATGTTACCAGTGAGAGTGGGCAATATGGCAAGAGCCTCCTGGTCCCTTGTGCTCCCTAGACAGTGCAGAACGCAGGCTTCCCTTCCTTTCCCTCATTGGTTATAAGATTCCTGTCTTTACTTCCCTGGTTCCCAAGACTAAAGGCCTCAGTCCCTCATGATGATTGCTTTGCCCCCAGGTCTTTGGCCATGGCAAGGCCAATGGAGAGCCAACCTGGGCACTGCTGCTGACTGCCTGCATCTGCGAGATTGGCATCCTCATCGCCTCCCTGGATGAGGTCGCCCCTATCCTTTCCATGTGCGTGCCTGGCCCGGAGGCCTCCCATTGGCTCTATGAGCCTCTCTGCCTGGGTACCCCCTCAACATTTTAACAACCCCAGGATGTTCCCCAGTGGCCACAGAAGCCTATTTTTTTGTTGTTGTCTACACACCACACACACACACACACACACACACACACACACACACACACCTATATACCTATATCGGTGTGTTGTGAGCAGATTTGGTCTTTCAGTGTGACATGGTCCTCCTCTCCTCTCCTCTCCTCTCCCTACTTCCTTCCCTGTCTTTGTCTTTCTGCTCCTGTGGCCTCCATCTCTCCTGTGGCCGTTCTGTATTCTAGGTTCTTCCTGATGTGCTACATGTTTGTGAACTTAGCTTGTGACACACACACACACACACACACACACACACACACCTATATACCTATATCGGTGTGTTGTGAGCAGATTTGGTCTTTCAGTGTGACATGGTCCTCCTCTCCTCTCCTCTCCTCTCCCTACTTCCTTCCCTGTCTTTGTCTTTCTGCTCCTGTGGCCTCCATCTCTCCTGTGGCCTCCATCCATCTCTCCTGTGGCCTCCATCTCTCCTGTGGCCGTTCTGTATTCTAGGTTCTTCCTGATGTGCTACATGTTTGTGAACTTAGCTTGTGCGGTGCAGACCCTGCTGAGGACGCCCAACTGGAGGCCGCGCTTTCGATATTACCACTGGTGGGTGTCCTGCCCTCCACCCCTTCCCACAGAACCATTTCTTACCTCTCCTCAGTCCTGTTTCATCCCATCCTGTCCCCTCCACATCTGATGACCCCAGGCCTGAACAGGATGTCCCACTGTCTCCAGCTTTTCTAGCCAGAGACCATAGGCGGGTCCTGGGAGGGTCTTCTACAGCAGTAATACAGCTTTGGAAACAGTCCCAGCTTTGATCCCCTCCCTATCTGTAATGCTAAGCTTCTTATAATGTAGGAGGAGGTTTAAGTCAGCCTAACTTGAATTCATAGCTTGACTCTCTACTTACTAGCTGGCTGGTGGTGAGAGCTTGGGGTGATGGCACAGCCTCTCTGAGCCTCAGTTTCCTCAACTGGGAAGTGGGTATGATTGCCACAGTCACCCGTGGGGTTCTGCTGAGCACCTTTTAGAGCCCAATGCAGGAAAGATGCTCCTCTCAAGGGGGCTGCAGAGCTCCTTAAAACTTTGTGGCTTTTTGTGCCTGTGGTGGGAAAGACTATATGTATTCCACAAAGGGAAATCTGAGCTCACGGCGGGGAAGGGACAGGCTCATGGTCATCCATCAAGTCTGTGGGATAATGGGACTTGCATGGGGGCTGCCCCACTCCCATCTTAGGGCTCCTGCTCACTGTCTGTGTTTAGGGACCTGTCTCAGAACCCATCCAGATCCATCTTGCTAGAGCTGTCTGGCAGGGTCTAAGGCACAGAGTGGGTGGGGCATGGAGTGGGTCCTGTCTGTGGCTGGTTATATATGAAGCCTGAGGTCTGCATGGTGCTCCAGGCTCTAGCTGCCCACATCTTGCCCAGGCTTGCTCACCACCGTACTCTTGCTGTCCAAGCCTGGGTTCTAGCTGCAGCCCCACCAGAGCTCTGGGGCTGGGTTCCTTCCATGTTCCTGGACCTTCCCCTTACTTATGCTCAGGCTCCAGCAGCAGCCCTGCCAGGGCTCAGGGGCTGGGCTCTCTCCATATTCCAGGACCCTCTCCTTCCTGGGCATGAGCCTCTGCCTGGCCCTCATGTTCATCTGTTCCTGGTACTACGCTCTGGTGGCCATGCTCATTGCCGGACTCATCTACAAGTACATCGAATACCGTGGGTAAGTGTGGGGAGGAGGGTGAGCAGGGGGGAGGACTGCCGAAGGATGTGGTGGTGGGCCATGGTTGGATTTACAGGGAAGGGGTGATATGGGGTAGGTTTGGAGCTGGGGGCTGAGGTTTTGAGAAACAGGCGAGAGAACAGATTTAGAAATGATTTCCAAGGGAACAGTTAGAGCTTGACTAAGGCAGGAGGCAGGAGTGACATGGGAGGGATGGCTGTGCTCTGTGGGATGGTTTCCCCAGCCTCTCCTGGCTTCCTGGACTCATGTGATTCCCTTTCTGCTCCCCAGGGCAGAGAAGGAGTGGGGTGATGGGATCCGAGGACTGTCACTCAGTGCTGCCCGCTATGCCCTATTGCGCCTGGAAGAAGGACCCCCACACACCAAGAACTGGAGGTGAGTGGTGAGGACACTTAGTGAGGGGCTCAAGGCAGTGAACACAAGGGAGCAGGGACCAGATTAGTCCCACTAGCTTTGTTTTGCTGAGTGGTGCCTATCAGCCTGTTCTCTCCTGACCCTTCCCCCTACCACACTGAGACCACAGTGAGTTCCAGACATTTGTTCTCCAGATCTGCTCACCACAGCAGCCTCCAGGCCATGTGTTTGTCTATTTGTTCATTCCATTATTTGTGCAAAAAATATTAATGAATTCATGGCATATGGCAAGCCCCCTTCCTGGCTCTGGGGATGCACCAAGTTCATAGATCAGTGGAGAAGATGCACACAGAGAGGCAAATGGACATTGTCTCTGTAAGTCTTCTCTCTCACTTTGAGAGCCATAGGATCTCAGGAGTCTCCAGACTGATGACAATGTCTCCATTGAAGATGAGGGGCCAGAGGGCTTTCAGAATCTTTCCCTCCCACCTACCAGCCTAGGTGCCACCTAAGTGGCTGCTACGCATGCCCAACTTGGCATCTATTGCCTCAGGTTCCATCTTACCAAGAGTGAGGCTAGAAGTCTGAATTATGCCTAGTACATGTTATTAACCCAGAGTTCCTAGATGCTGGGCTTCGTGCTATTTGTCTGTGAATTCCCAAGTGATTGGTCCAGAGTCCAGCCTGGACAGGTGCTTGGAGAATGCTATGGAATCAATGGAGAGTGGGAGGAGTGTAATAGCTAAATGCATTAAAGAGATGAATGGGGAAATGGGTGGAAGGATGGATAAGTGAACACACGGAAGCACAGCTGGGTGAACAGAGGGACATGTGAATGGGGAGTGGAGAGGATGGATGTGTGGGCAACTGAGTGAATAATACTTGAAGGTAAATTCATCTGGGTATTAGTGGATTACTGAAGGATGAAGGGATGGTGGGTGGCTGGATGGACAGATGAAAGAGGTAGATGGAGAGGTGGGTGGGAGGATGGATGGATGGATGGATGGGTGTGGGTGGTGGCTGGAGGGCTTGCTACTCAAGGGAATGGATGCTGCTGTTTGGGCAGGTAATGAGGCCCAGGTGCAGGAGCTCAGAAGACAATGGATGAACTGATGTTGGGTGTTTGGGTGGGTGGGTGGGAGGTGGGTCATATGACCCTGCACCCTCTTCAGGCCCCAGCTGCTGGTGCTGGTGCGTGTGGACCAGGATCAGAACGTGGTGCATCCACAGCTGCTCTCCTTAACCTCCCAGCTCAAGGCAGGGAAGGGCCTGACCATTGTGGGCTCTGTGCTTGAGGGCACCTTTCTGGACAACCATCCACAGGCTCAGCGGGCAGAGGAGGTGAGCAGAGGCCCGGCAGGGGAGGGAGGGTCAGGACACAAAGGGAGACAGTCTTTGCCCTGTGTACTTGCCTTCATTATACCACTAGGACCAAAAGGTGCTCAGGATTTTTGTCTTTGTCCTAGAAGAGGAGCCTAAGGTCCAGGGAATAAGTGCCTTAGAAGTCAATCTACAGGGAGCTGGGAAATGGCTCAAGAGGGCAAAGTGCTTGTTGTGAAAGCAAAAGGCCCTGAGCTCCAAGCCCCAGCACCCAGTAAGAGCTGGGCACTGGGATGCATGCCTGAGAGGGGTGGAGACAGGTGGATCCCTGGAGCTCACTGGTCAGCCAGGCTAGCCAATCAATGAGCTCCAAGTTTTCTGAGAGACTTGTTCTCAAAAAAGTAAGGTGGAAAGCAATTGATGAAGACGTTTGATATTGACCTCTGACCTCCACATGCACTCCCCACCCCATACACATTTTGTCCAACAGAACCAAATGTTGACAGAGCCAGAAGGGCCCATTTTATGGATATGGAAGTGGAGGCTTGGAGAATTTAGGTCACCTGTCTAAAGTCAGAAACCAAGGCTTACAATAGAACTGCTCTTCCTGATGGAATGTAAATCTTTCAACGTGTTTTCAAAATCAGGGTCTCTTTTGCCCCTACATTGTGAGCAGTCAGCAGGGTGAGTAGCCACTTTTGACCCAGGAGGAAACCAAGGTCCAGGGAGGGACAACAGCTTGCTGAAGGTTACAGGACTAGCTGGAAGTCAGATCAGGACTTGAACATACCCTTAGCTCTGGGTCACCTGCAATTGTCCATAACTATAGAGCAACTGAGGGTAGGCTGGCCATATGTGCATGATCTGCACCTGAAGATGTCCAGATCCTAGTAGGTAGAAGTAGGTTCCATCTAAGACTGAGGCCTGTCTCCCCTCAGGGCTGTGGGTAGAAGTGGAGAAAGGGGGACCTGGGGGAAATGAGATGAGAGGGGGCATCCCAATGGCTGTGAGAGTTGCTGTTTATGCCTCACTGTGCCATTCACACCAATCTGTCAGGATTCAGAGCTGGAGGCCCCGACTGGTCAAGATCACTCAACAGGGACTGGCTGAGTGCATGCTGGGTGCCAGGCACCGGGGCTAGGCACTGGGTAGAGTGAGATGGCAGAGAGCAAGTGCCAGCCTTCATGATGGTCACAGGCCACACAGAAGGCTCCAATGAGTGCCGTGCTAGGTTAATAACAGTAATACCACGTGTTAGGGCTATGATAAGCTGGCAGCATCCTGAGCCCTTATGTGAATCATGTCATGTAAGTCTCCTGATTCCTAAGTGAACCTGCCCCCCACCCCAGAGGGACTGATAAGAGTAGAGGTTAGATGGCTTGTCTGAGGCCACAGCCAGGAGGTGGCAGAGATGGAAATTATCCTCTGTCTGTTTGACATCAGGGCAGTGGTTGAGGGCAGAGGGGTAGAGTGAGCCTCCTGATGAGTGCATTAGCCCCATGTCCTTCAGTGAGTCCTTCATTCTCTGAGCCTCAACTTCCTTGATAAAATGGGAGTTGTGAGAAGACCTCCCTCAGTGCAGACTAAGTACACTGACAATACTTATCATTAAGATCTGAATCATTACATTGTGTGGTCACACAGAACAGCTCAGCTGATTTCTGGTCTGGTGGAGGGTGGTGTCTGGGGATGGTTCATTTGAGTTGAGAAAGGCAGGTTGTCACAGATAATGGGGCCAGGGGACATGTGTGTGGGTAGGTGTGGGCAGGTCATAGGTGATGAGCAGGAACAGGAACTGTAGGTGATGGGGAGCCTAATGTGACCAGAGCCAAAGTTCAGGAAGAAGGGGAGGGATAGAAAAGGCAGATGAGAAAGGGAGGATGGAAGGAGGGGGAAGGTGGAAGGAGGGACAGAGGGATAGATGGAAAATGGGAGGGAGGGAAGGGGGAAGGAACAGAGGGAGGGGAAGAAGGAAAGATAAGAGGGAGGCTGTGAGACCCAGACCGAGCCAGGGAGATCTGAGGCTGGCCCTAATCTGCACACACCCTCCCTGCAGTCTATCAGACGCCTGATGGAAGCTGAGAAGGTGAAGGGCTTCTGCCAGGTAGTAATCTCCTCCAACCTGCGAGATGGCGTGTCCCACCTGATCCAGTCTGGGGGCCTTGGAGGACTGCAACACAACACAGTGCTGGTGGGCTGGCCCCGGAACTGGCGGCAGAAGGAAGATCACCAGACGTGGAGAAACTTTATTGGTACCCCGGCTGGTGGGCTAGAGGGACAGAGGGCTGGTCCTAGGCTGCTTTGGTTCTAAGGGGTTCCCAAGTTCAGAACAAGTGTGGGTTCAGTATATGTGGGGGGTGCCAGCTTCTGTGTCAGGCTCTGGGAGGAAGACAGGGCAGGATTGCGAGGGGCGGGGGAAGAGCTGTAAGCTTCAGAGTCACCATAGTCAGAGTCTGTGTTTCCTGACTTTCTTAGCCATATGGTTGTGCCCAAGTGAGTCACCTTCTTTGAGCCTCAGTCTTCTTGGTAATAGTCAAAAATAACAAAATAGCTAATGTTTATAGAATGTATTTTGTGTGCCAGGCAAGTTGAGGCTTTCCCTGATGTTCTCATCAGTCCCCTGAGAGCTAGGCACTGTCATCTCCAGTTTATTGGTGTGAGACAGGCACAGAGACATTAAGGAATTTACTTAGGTCATACAGCTGGGAAGCCATGTTTGAAACAGCCAAGAGGTTACACTGTTAACGTCAAATATTTCTGTCTCTTTTAAGGACTCTGTGAGGCCACACAGGATGGGTTCTTAATAATAAAAAAAAGGCACAGCCTGGGGAGCTGGCTCAGTTGTAAAGTGTTGACCACACAAGCACGAAGACCTGAGTTTGCTCCTGACAGCCTGCCTGGGAGTGGTGCTGAGCACCTGTAATCCAGTGCTGGGGAGCAGAGTCCCTGAGACTCACTGGCCAGCCAGTCTAGCTTACTCTGTGAGCTCTGGTCCAATCAGGCCAATAGGAGCACCATCCTGACAACAAAAAATAAAACCAAAACCAAACAGTCTCCCCCAACAATGCAGGCAGCTCTTGAGGAACAATAAATGACACCCAAGGTTGACATCTGGCCTCTGCATGCATGTGCACACACATGTGTCCATACACATCTGCACACATGTGTACCCATCTAAGCATGCACACATACATACAAAGAGCAGCTGACATTGTCATTTAAGAGATGGGGAATCTGAGGCCCAGAGAGACCTGAGGTACTTTCTCACACCAAAGTAACCAGTAGGTACTGGTTACTGACTAAGGTAGGTGCTGGTTTACTGACTGCCCCAGCCCAAGGTGAAGGCCAAGGTCAGATGGAGTGTGGTGGGGTCCTGGGTACTGGAGGATTGGTCACTGTTGCCCTCTGGTCATCTTCTTGGCTTTCTCCAGAACTGGTCCGGGAAACCACAGCCGGCCACCTGGCCCTGCTGGTCACCAAGAATGTCTCCATGTTTCCTGGGAACCCTGAGCGCTTCTCAGAGGGCAGCATTGATGTGTGGTGGATTGTGCATGATGGAGGCATGCTCATGTTGCTACCCTTCCTGCTGCGCCACCACAAGGCACGTGAGCACACATGTCCATGTAGGAGAGGCTCTGTGTGTGTGTGTGTGTGTGTGTGTGTGTGTGTGTGTGTGTGTGTGTGTGTGTGCACCTGTGGGGGGAGCGTGGGGTCTTTGGCTCTGTGTGTGTGTGTGTGTGTGTGTGTGTGTGTGTGTATGTGTGTGTGTGTGTGTACATCTGTGGGGAGGGTCAGGGCTCTGGCCAGGGCCAGTCTCCATGTTTTGCCTCTCTAGGGAGCTCTGATCATCTTCATGGGTGTTGTTAGGAACTGACAGGTGCACTTTAACTCAGACAACTGGTTCCTGGTTGGGGAGGGGGGTGGCACCTCAGACCTGAGCAGGGAGTGTGTGGATAGTCTTGTAGGCCTGGGTTGGGGACTGTGGGGAGGGTCAGGGCTCTGGCCAGGGCCAGTCTCCATGTTTTGCCTCTCTAGGGAGCTCTGATCATCTTCATGGGTGTTGTTAGGAACTGACAGGTGCACTTTAACTCAGACAACTGGTTCCTGGTTGGGGAGGGGGGTGGCACCTCAGACCTGAGCAGGGAGTGTGTGGATAGTCTTGTAGGCCTGGGTTGGGGAAGACACATGGGAAGGGAAGGGGCCTGCAGCCTCTGACTGGATCTTTCTGGATCACCTTCCATCCTCTCAGGTCTGGAGGAAGTGCAAGATGCGGATCTTCACTGTGGCCCAGATGGATGACAACAGCATCCAGATGAAAAAGGACCTGACCACGTTTCTGTACCACTTACGTATTACAGCAGAGGTGGAGGTGGTGGAGATGGTGAGTCCCCAAGGACTTTCTGTTCTGGGAGTTCCACCTGGGTCTCATTCCTCTTGGTCCTAGCACTAATTAGGGCTCCTCCAATGTCAGCAATGATGCTAGACACCTTCCCCCATGGCCACTCCTTAGCCTGTCACATATTCATCCAAGAGTTCATCCATCCAGCCCTCTGTTAGAGGATTAGCCATGTTGAAGAGTGCTCATTCTACAAAAGACACTGCTCTGTGCATGTATGCAGTAATTATCGCAACCTCCAATGAGATACATATATTATTAGAAATTTTCATTGACAACTAGAATGTTGAGACACAGAAAGTCTAAGTAACTGACCCCACAACACAGTAAGTGGCAGAGTCAGGATTCAGACCCAGGTAGGCTGCTGCAGAGTGCACCCGGTGGGTACAGTACACTGTCTTGTCCATTATCTCCTTGGTTCATCTACCATCCCTCTTCATGATCCTTAATCGATCCATTGTTATCCATTTATCCATTTACTCATCACTCCATTCATCTGGATATGCATTCATTCATCCTTACATCCTTTTAAAAAACTGCTTCCCCTTCTTCAGTCACTCAGGTAATTAATTAATCGGCTCATTCAGTACTCCATCCATTCACTCTTGGTTCTGTGTTAGGCACACAGGAAATGCGCTGCCTCCTTTCCCAGATCGTGGCCCTGTGTGCTTTGTCCTTGTCTCCTCCAACCTTGGTGAAACTTGGGCATGGGATAGGCAGCTACAGGCTGGCAGGAGGGAGGGAGGGATCTGCCCCCTCCTCCCCACTGGCCTCCCTGAGTTTTCAGCTCCACTTTCCTCCCTGGTCTCTGCCATCCGTCCCGCTTCCTATCCACAGCATGAGAGCGACATCTCAGCATACACCTATGAGAAGACACTGGTGATGGAGCAACGCTCTCAGATCCTCAAGCAGATGCATCTAACCAAGAATGAGCGTGAGCGGGAGGTGAGGTTGCCCTGGCAGGACTCTCAGAGCTGCTATAGGTTGTGGGTCTGCACAGACAGGTGTGGGAGGCCCAGGCCAACACCCCTGGCCACCAGTGCTGTTACAGGCACCTTAGTAACATTTACCTGCCTCCTGACACTCAGCTTCCCCACAGTGGGACTGCTTGTGGCTGCTTGCATCTGCCCACCCCCACCCCCAACCATGATGGGAGGGCTTTGGCATTGAGACAGACTTTCTCCTCTGTAGGAGACTTCTAGGGCCAGAGGAAGAATAGTCGATGCTAAATATGTATGGATGACGAGCTCTCAGGGATGTGGGTTGCCAGTGTGGGAGACAGGGTTCATGTAACAGACCCAGAGAGTGGGTAACAGATGGATATTTAAAGACATGGCTGCTAGGTAGGAGTCGGGGCAAGCCTCCTAGGGTATGAGTGAAGGGCTCTCAGGAATAATGGTGACAAGTACCCCATGGGGTAAGATCTCTTAGGTGTCAATCACTGGTCCCTGGAGTATGGATAAAAGACCCACCCCAGGGAGTAGAATCCCTGGGGGGAGTGAGGGATGATATCCAGGGCTGTGAACAGAAGAGCTCTTAGAGGGGGTACTAGGTTGCTTAGGGGACAAGTAACATTCTGTAGGTGAGGGTGAAGAACCACATGGGTTATGAGTCTCCCAAGTGGGGAGGGTCTTTTTGTCAGAACATGGCTGATAGGTGGTCAGGGAGATTGGTAGGATGGAGGGGTCCAGCCTTCAAAGAATGGAGGTGTCACCCAGGGTAGAAGCAAAAGTGCTAAGAAATGGCATGTGTTGGCACCAGCCAGAGTGATAAAGGACTGCAGTGCTTGGCTCCAGCCTTGCTGTGCCAGGTGTTAGTCCGCTGGCTGCTGATGGCCGGAAAGTGAGCTCTGGAGACCAGAGGCCAGGTCAGCAGTGTGATAGCTATTTGGTCTTGAAGCACTGCTCTGTTTTAAGTGTGTGCCTTTCTGGAATGTATGTAACCTGGATGAACATCAGCTGTAGTGCCTGGTACCAACCCCTTTCATCCTCCCCCCCTGACGCAGATCCAGAGTATCACAGATGAATCTCGAGGCTCCATTCGGAGGAAGAATCCAGCCAACACTCGGCTCCGCCTCAATGTCCCTGAAGAGACAGCTGGTGACAGCGAGGAGAAGCCAGAGGAGGAGGTGTGCGGCTAGGGTGGCTTGGCTCCAGACAGTGGGAGCAGAACCTTTGGCCACTGAAGAAGTCACTTGCTGAACTGTCATCCCTCCCTCAGGTGCAACTGATACATGACCAGAGTGCTCCCAGCTGCCCAAGCAGCTCACCATCTCCAGGGGAGGAGCCTGAGGGGCAGGGGGAGACAGACCCCGAGAAAGTGCACCTCACCTGGACCAAGGACAAATCGGTGACAGAGAAGAATAAAGGCCCCAGCCCTGTCTCCTCTGAAGGCATCAAGGACTTCTTCAGCATGAAGCCGTATGGGCCTGGGGGCTTTGGGCTGGGGTGGGGCCAGCCTCAAGGGCCCATTCAATGTGGCAGAACAAATGCGCAGAAGGGTCCTGGTCTGGCAGTCTGAAGATCCAAGGCACACCTTTGCTTTCCCACAACGGAGACTTCCGGGGCTGGGTCTGATTGCCAAGGGCCAGGGCTAACTCTTAGATGCAGATGATAGATAGAAAGGTAAAGGAGGTGGAAAGGGGCTGGAGAGTGAGACTGTGCTAGCCTAGGGCAGGACAGATGGTGGCTCAGGGCAGCCTCTTCTTCCTCTTTTCCTGACCCCTCTCTTTTTCTCTCTTTGCTCCTCTTTGTGTTTCCCGAAGGGAGTGGGAAAACTTGTAAGTGCGCCAGCATTTTTCCATTTTCTCTCCTAGGTTTCCAGGGTCCCTACTCCACTAAACCCCCAAGGAGTGCCCCTAGCCTCTGGGGTCTCTAAATAGTCCAGCTTGGAGAAGTCTGGGGTTGGGGGAGGCCAGGACAGCCCAATTCGGGCTGGGAGGGCGACCAGGCCCAGCTGTTCTTTCCCCTAGGCTGACTCTCTCGCCTCCCCATCTTGCTCGGCAGGAACCAGTCCAACGTGCGGCGCATGCACACAGCTGTGCGGCTGAACGAGGTCATTGTGAACAAATCCCGGGACGCCAAGCTGGTTTTGCTCAACATGCCCGGGCCTCCCCGCAACCGCAATGGTGATGAAAACTGTATCCTGGATTTAAACTAGCGGGGGAAGAGGGAGGTGGACTCCGGGGCCAACCTGGGTCCCGGAGCCCTAGGATGAAAGGGGAGCAGGGTCTGCTTCCGGATCAGCACCATAGACAGGGACGTGGACGCATGCGCTCCAGAGCTGGGAAGGAGCAGGGTGTTTTTCCCCTTGACCAGCTCTCAGACATGGAGTTCCTGGAGGTCCTCACCGAGCAACTGGACCGGGTGATGCTGGTCCGTGGCGGCGGCCGCGAGGTCATCACCATTTACTCTTGAGGGCCAGGACCTGCCACTCGGGCCCAAGCGCGCCCGGCCCGCGGCCCCGGAGCCCTCGCCGCGCCCCCCGCCGCTGTCACCGTTTACATAAGACCCCGTGCCCGTGCCCTGGCCCCTTTCCCCGCTGCCCGCAGCCCCGAGGCCGCCGGCTCGTCGGGGCTGAGCAGGAGGCGGCGCCTCGCCAGAGGGGAGGGGACGCTGCAGTAAAGGTGGCGAGGCGTGAGCCCGGCCGTCCTCCCCACGCCCCGCCGCGTTCCTCCGCGCTCCTCCCGGGCCGGTCGCGCTATACATAGTGTACAGGAGACATCGCGTGTATTTTTAACGTCCCCATATTTCTGTAACTAGAAGCGCAACGGACTCCTCCTCACCACGTCCGAGCTCTCCCGGCTGCAAGCCCGGGGAGGGGGCGCGAGCTGAGAGCAAAAGTGCTTTAAGGCTCTGGCGGGGGTGGTGGCCTCGGTCCCTGGACCCCTGCCCCGTCCACGCGCTTCCCTCCTTCCCGCTGGTTCTTGGCCGAGACAGGCGCCCGGCTTCTCCTGATTTGCCTCCCCAGCGGCCAGGATAGCAGAGGGGCTCCCCTCCAGGGGAGAGCCCGAGGCCCGCGCCCACCGAGGAAGCCCCGCCAGGTGCCTTCGCGGAGGAGCAGGCGTCTCTCCTCTGTTGGCCTGCCGCCTGCTTCCCCTGTCCTGTGGCTCCTCGCCAAAGACTGAACTTTGGAGCTGGAGGGCGCCCTGCTCCCCTTTCCTCCCTGGGACTGGCGAGGAAGGAGGTGCGGCAATTGTAGTTTAGGGGCTGATTCACGGGAGGCCCCAGAGTAGGCCCTGATGGTCCTTCCCCTCGCCCCCACCTGCAGGCCCAGCCTGCGGAGGATTCTGGGCCGGGCATTCCCAGACACCTGGTCCTGGGAGGGGTGGCCACTAGGCCGGCCCTCTTCTCACTACGACCCAAGGCCTTTGGCTGCCCCAACTCCAGACCTAGGCGCTTCCGCTCCACCAGCCCCACCTGTGGGGAGGTGCCCTCAGCCCTTTAGCCAGGCATTTGGCAGGTTCCCTTCCCCCCGGGGCACGTTACTAAGGGGGACAGGCACTGCATGCTCCTTCAAGTGCCCTCTGGGACTGGGCACAGTACCTCCAGCCCCAGAGCCCTGACCCACGCACCTAGTTAGACATCCTGCCCATTCCAGAGCTGGGGCCACTAGGTACTCCTGACCTCGACACCTCCTTCCCTTTGAGCCCAAGGCAGAGAACTGCAGCTGGTGCCATCTAGACAGGGTCAGGTGTGTGACCAGGGGCAGGTCTGGAGGTCTACTGCTTGGCCCAAGACCCCTTTGAGAGTTGACCAGGGACTGGATATCCTTCCATGCACTGGGCATGTTATGACCCAGTCCCCTGCATCCTTCAAGGCTGTCCTCTGAGAAACCCTGGCCTGCCTTCTGGGCCAAGTATGAGGCTGGGCAGAAGGGGAGAGGGCCTGTATCAACACCGATTAGGGAACCAAAGTTGCACTATCTGGGCCCAGACTGTCTCGTTGGCAAGAGCAAAGTTTCCGTTGATGAAACAAACATCCCACAACAAAAACCCAAGTTTTTTGTGCTACACGTGCAATATTTGTTATGAATGTTGTCATTCAAGGTTCTCTTTATGGTCACTGTAGCTAGATGTTTCATGTCCATCCAAGTGACTTTTATTCTGAGTGCAATATTTCAATAGCCTTGTAGTGAGAGCTAGAGTTGCTTTTGTTTTAGCTGATCTATGTGCAAGGCGATGCAGTGAAGTCGAAAACCCTTGTAAATAGGAGAGGTTGCAAGCCAAATCCAGAGTATTTATTACAATTATTACTATTATTATTAGGCCTGCCTTTAATTTTCAGTGTTTCAGTATTTCGCATCCTGCCTCAGTACTGATCTTGTGTTCTTTGTGCCAATATGAAAAGGAGAGGGCTGGTTCTTTCCTTTATTGTTGAATGCTCCCATTTAATGCTTTAAAGCTTTTACTGTATTAATTTTTTAGACACTCATCTGCACAAAATGCAATAAAAAGAATTTTATTATACCCTTTATAGCCTTAGGTATGCTGTTTGGACACCCCAGGAGGAACTGAGATGCTTGCTCAGAAGTCAAATCCCTATTTTCAGCAGATGACTTTTTGGTTGAGGCAGGGTCTCTCTCACGTAGCCCAGACTAGTCTCAAACTCAGCTAGGCAGCCAGGAATGACCTTGAACTGCTTCCACCTTCCAAGTACTGGGGACTGCATGTGTGCCACCCCATCTGAATGTCCAATTGGGTATGGCCAGCCTTGGGAGCCTTGTCCAGAGAGTACTGCACTCAGAGCAGCTCCTAAGCCAGGAGGCACTGCCTAGGTGTCAGGCTGCATGACACCCCGTGGGAGGCAGTGAACGTCTCTACGGGAGGCTCAGCCTTGTTGACCTGTTGGGAAGTTAGGGACATTCATGCCAAGTTTATTAAAGACTCTTCAGGATGTTCAGGTCCTAACTATGGATTCTGCCAAATGTCTAACAATGGGTAGAACCGAGATGAAGGCAAGAGATGATGAGTGCCTGACTCCACCATGGGTGAAGGTCCTCATCATGGACTTCCTTTTCTACAACAGGATCTGGACACATTTGCGGATATGCTGTGTGTTACCAGAAGCAGGGTACAGAGTGTGATAGGATTTGCCAGAAAGCTTTTGCTCTGAACTATTATTAACACTTCTCATTAGGTAGGCAGCATACAAAGGCTCATGTAGGGTACAGAGATTCTAAGGCTTGACCCTAGTTAAGGACAAGAAGGGGACAGACCAGAGTCCTCAAAGATAGGGACCCCTCCTGACCCCAGGAAACATGCTCTGCAAAGAGGTGCTGTATATACACCCAAGAAAAATGAGTACAGGTCTGACTTTGTCATTTTAATTAAAAAGTAACTGTTTCATTTTATCAACAACACGAGTTCCAAAGAGGGGGGGAAAAACACTATATAACACAAACAGATCAGAACAGAAACTGTTGCCATTTGGGGACCTTAAGTTTTGAAACTTGTCTTCTCAGCCCCTGGCAGGGACTCAACTGAAGTCACCACTCTCTGCCCTGCCAGGGCCCCCTTCCCTAGACTTGATCCACAGGGTTCTAATGAGCAGTCTGTCCTGAGGGAGAAGGCGCTTCCTTTGGCTCCATTCAGGGCAGCAGCCAGAGCCCTCCCTCTCACAGTCTTACTCTGGCTCAAAATTTATGAATGTTGTCTGTATCGACAACGCATCCAGCTACCAAGAGTCTGACATCAAATGGTCCCTACCTCCTGCTGATCAGAAAACAGAACAAGAGTCTAGATGAAAACAAAAGCTGGGGTTTTTGAGCTAAAAGCTCAAAATAAATCACTGAAAAGATGGGTGTTCAATGCCAGTCTAGAGTTGTCTTCTCAGAGCCGGCTGTGTGAGGCGCTGCTGGGAGAGCGGTACTGATGGAAATGCTATGGAGAGCAGTGAGGCCCAGATTCACAGTTTGTATCCAGTTGCTGAGTGGAATTGCCCAGTCCTCTGGAGATCCTCTGATAAAATGGAAAACCACCAAAGAAACCAACTCCCCACAGAGGGGGTTCTGCCTTCTATGGCTGCCACCCATTCTTCACCAGTCCAGGGCAGCTGATTGAGTCCTTGAACAGAGCTCCGTACTCTGATAGGACAGTGACAACACTGTCTGCCAAGGCCAATCTGCTTCTCTATGAGCCAGCAGGAGCTCAGCTCTGGCTGTGTTGAGGTGGGAAAACCTTAGTAGGTTCGGAAGAAACAAAAGTTGTGACTACTGACTTGACAAATGGCATTCCAAATTCAAGTGGCTACGGTGTGGTTTCTTCCTTTCCTCTCCACAAATTGGCAGACAGGGACCAGAGAAACCCCATCAGACAGAAAACAAACTTAGACCCCTGCATTGATCAAGCAACCCCAGAGATACTTTCTACCCAAAACAAAAACAGATGCAGCCCCAAATGCAGTATAAATTCTGATTCTGTTAAGTAAAACGCAACACAGCCTTGGGAAGGAGAGGTGGTAGAAATTTAGGACATTTGATGTCAACTTGGAGAGTGCAAAGAACACCCTCCAAACATCTCTACTTAGAATGAAGTGGGAGGACAGGAAGAAGGGACTAGGAACAGCAGAACGATTTAGCCTCAGTAATGCCTCTGGTAGGTTCCCATGGGAGCCTGGGGCCGCCCCACCTGTGCTGCAGTTTGGCTAACCAGGTGGGAAAGAGCAGGGCCACTCTGGATTAGGGTGTCCAGAGCCTTTTGTACACTTGGACTGTCAAAGTTAATGCCTGTGGAAGACACAGGCCTCTGGCTAGCCATGTTGCTGGCAGGTGCCAAGCGATTGGAAGGCTGACCAAAGAGCCCTTGGGAAGGAGCCCCAGGCCTGGGACCCATGTTCCGAGCAGATCCTGCCTGTCCCAAAATGTTTGGAGGCTGATTGCCAGAGGCCTGTGATCTTTGCTGAGGCTGGCTGTTTGCTGCTGTGGAAAAATTCTGGTTCTGGGCGCTTCCGGCAGCAACTGAGGGGGATGTAGAGCTGCTATTGGCCGCAACCGTGCCACTATTGAAGAGGCTGAGGATTTTGGCCTGAAGCTCTTGCTGGGAGGTGGGGGGTGCGGCTGGAGTGGGTGTAGCAGAGGGGAGCACTTGGCCGCTCTGGAGCGGTTGGGAGCTTGGTTGTGTCTTCAGCGAGGCACCCGAGGCCGCCCCGAGTGGTTGGCGGGAAATCGGGCCTGGAAGACAGAAGAGGGAGGCATCTGGTTGAGAGTACCCCCAAGGGCAGGAGGCTTAACAGCCAAGGGAACAACAAATCACTGTGTCACAACAAGCAGACAGTACACAGACAATAACACTGATTTCCAAACAGGCCATTTCAGGATATGGGCTGTTTTACAGAAAGCAGCCTTGTTAACCACAGAAAACTGCTGAAAAAAAGAATTAAAAAAGGGGGCATTCATTTTGGCTATTAGGGAGCCAGCAGTACCACCAGCTCCTAACTCCAGAGATCAGAATTCAGTACCACATCTCAAGTTATTATCATTAATGACATTATCAGCATAGAGAGCCCATAAGAGGCGCTGAAGGATGGGCTCCTTTCCCTTACCCCTTCCCCCCTTAATAACCCTGGGCATGCTACCCTCCCAACAGAACCTGGGAATGAGAGAAATGCAGAGTCAGAACTTCACCTCGGCCCTGCCACGTAGCTCACCAGGCAGAGAGTCGGTGCTGCTCCTCATAAGCCGCTCCTTCCGTTCCCGCAGGTAGTTGATGATCTTGTCTGTCTCTTCGGCAGTGAGGTATCTGTTGTCTGCCAGAAGGTTGATGAGGCTCTGGATGGCTGGAGGGTGGCCCCCACGCCCGCCCTCCTCAGGGCCTCCACGCTCTCTTTCCTGCAGAATGGCTTCATCAGCCATCTTGGCTGCCTGTCGGGCAATCTCCTCGCGTTCCTTCTCCCGACAGTCATTCTTGTAGCGCTCATAATTTCTGGCCACCAGCACCATGGCATCTGCCTGGGGCATGTTGCGATGCTCTGCGGGAGGGATTGACGTGAGTTATTTTCTCCCCTGACAGATTCAAGTGCCCACCTGCTGCACTCTGCCAAGCCTTTCCTATGCTCAAATCAGAGAGAAAAACATTTCAGTGACAAGAAGCTATGAGCCTGGGAGCGAGGTGGGGCCTAGATGATGAGAAGAACTGGTACTTGTGGTATGAGAACATACCTCCATAAAGAGCCACAGAGCCATTTCTTTAGGGAAATTCTTAGGTCACAGACCTGTGGCAAAAACCAAAGCAACACAACAGCCTCCCACAGAGTCAAATGGGCCATGTGGGGATCAGTCATGGGAGGCAGGCCCAGCAGCTTCTAGACAGCAGCAGGAGGCCAAAAAGTCCTCTGCTAAGCCTGGCTTGCCTCAACCCCTGTCCTCTCCAGGACAGAGTTAGCCTACTGGTTTTTTAATTCATCAGTTCAACAGTCTTGGATTAAGAACAAATTGTGACCCTAAATAACTCCCTCTTCTCACTTGTGGGCAACAGAATTGTGTAGGGTGGTGAGAAGACTTCTGGGAACCTTCTATAAGCATCCTCATAAATTCTGTGGGTTGCTCCTCAGAGACAAGTGACTCCTTGGAAAGTCTTCTGTATATACCTATGGCTACCTATGGGTGTAACAGAGACCCTGGACAACAGGAAAGAGCAAGTCAGGGCTCTAAGAGCCATGAACAGGGCACAGATGGCTGAGTATCAATGCTTGGGCTCAAAGCACTACAAGATATTTTGGAGAATGACTTGAAGGAAACTGCCCTGAGTCTCTAGAGGACCAGAGCCTCGTCTTTGTCCTCATAGCTCCTCTGCTAGCTTCTCCAATACATGGCAAACAGTATCTTGTCTGTGCTATGCATGACAATAAAGGGCTCTACTGCACTCAGGGCAGCAGGCACCAAGGGTGTGCCAGACCCAGATCTCACTGGGGAGCCACTTGTGCACATTTCTTTCCAACTCTCCTTTCAGTGACTTAAAATGGGAACTGGGGGGGAGGGTTGGTAAGTCACAGCACAGAAATCAGTAAATGCTACAAACTATCCCCTCCTTTATAGGAGAGCTGGTTGTTAAACAGCTGCCAGCACATTTACTATGTACACCCAATGGCTACATAGACAGCAGGCCCAGAACTGTATCACAGAGAGTATCAGACTGATAATTAACCAAGAAGGGTCTACCACATTTGAGCTGAAATGCTTCAGTCCTCTCCCAAAACCTACTTCTTGTGAGTAGGGCATAGAATTAATATACTAGTGACTACCTCTGGGATTTTGGCCTCTTTGGGCCTCAGTACCTTGTGGAGTTCCAAACATGATGTTGACTGTACAGGAACGGTGGATCTGGTGCTGCTGGGTGATGACAATAGCAAAAGGAGACCCTCCCCTGCTAACATCCTCCAAAGCTTGTGAGAGTGACACCTCTGTGTTAAGGAAGATCAAATCCACAACCATGCCTAGGTCTCGTACCTTCCGCCCCACAGACTCAGCGTAATCCCTGTAAGAAGAAACAGGATCCATGTGAGCACTCCCTGACCAAGTCTCAATCTGCACTTGCCGGGTCTCAGCCAACTCTGTGTGCTCTTACAGAGAACTCAAAATCTAGCCCACTCTAGTGCTGTCTTTAGGCTTCAAGAATGGTCTTAACTTGTCTATGGTTACAGAGGAAGTTGCCAGTAGAACAGAATTTGATACTCACCCCTTAAAAAAAAGACTCATCTGTATCTACCTTTTAAAGTAGACTGTGACTGGGCACTATATACCTATTGAGAGGCCTTGCTCAGTTATTTTTCAACCAGTTTTACAAGAGCCAGGGAAGCTTAGCATTCTGTTCCTCAACACTTTACTTTGGAAAACAAGCCCTGTGGGGAATTCCTCCCATCAAGTTATTTTAGTTTAACACACTTATTTCTAGAGGACTAGTAGAATTAACAAGGGATGGGGAATTAAAAAGTGCATCCTAGGGGCAGGGCATGGTAGCGTGCGCCTTTAATCCCAGCACTCGGGAGGCAGAGGCAGGTGGATCTCTGTGAGTTCGAGGCCAGCCTGGTCTACACATCTACAGAGTGAGTTCCAGGACAGCTGGGGCTACAGGGAGACCCTGTCTCAAAAAGACAAAAAAAAAAAGGAAAGAGAGCTAATCTTCTGCTTAGGTATGCCATATAGATTTTTAAAAATTTGTATTTTTTTATTTTTTATTTTATGTGTACAACTGTATTGCCTGCATGTGTGTTGAGTACACCCATGTCGTGCAATACTGCAGAGGTCAGAAGAGGGTATTGGATTCTCCTGGAACTGGAGTTAAGGACAGTTCGTAGCCACCATGCGGGTGCTGGGAATCGAACCCTGGTCCTCTGCAAAATCAGTCAGTGCTCTCAACCACTGGGCCATCTCTCTAGCCCCACCATACAGATTTTTTAAAAATGGTAACAAAAATTAAAAATCTTGGAGAACACATTATCAGAAGGAATGGAGGTGAGCGCTGAGCATGCGCAGTACTTCTAGTTTGTCTCACTTCTCTAGTCGTAGCAGCACCGGCATTAGCAGCAGCAGGATCACCTGATCATCCTGTCAGTCTGTGTCCACGGATTTTTCCAGACTGAAGCTAGAAGACAGGAGCATAGTTTCTGAAAGCAAGACGCCCAGATTCTTCAGGGACATGCCACTCTTGTCAGTCTCCATCTTTTGCCTAAAGGTCTCCATAATGGGTGGTCAGGGTAGATCTCCAGGATTTCTTTGCTCCCATGTAACCCATTGTTGAGCTGCCTCTTAGGGCTTGAGCCTTCACGATTCTCCCGTGTTTGCTGTCCACCTACACATGCTTGTGATACTAACAGTAGGAGGATGTCACCAGCAGATGTGATACAACCATTTTGCCTTTTTTTCCTAAGATGTCATTCATCATTTTGCAGGTGTTTTCAAACTTGTCTTTTTTGTTTTTAATTTTCTATTAGTTATTTTTTTTAATACTTCTCTTTTTTTTATTATTTAATAACCACATAATTAGAAAAGCATTTCAAACAGCACTGACATATTGAATAACAATTTTCAGAGCTAAGATACATCTCTTTCACAGTTGGCTGGAAACTTTTAGTTTACAGTTGAATTAATACAGTTATACATTATTGTACGACATATAAACCCCTATAAGACATAAAATTAATTGAGGTTTTAAACTTTGAAAAAAATCATTTTAAAATATACTGTTTCATACAGAAAAACTTTTTTGTAAACTGAAAATCAGCAAACTTGTCTTTTTTAAAAGAATATTTTATTTTTATTTTATGTGTATGAGTGTTTTGCCTGCATGCATGTAAGTATACCATAGGTGGTGCCCAGGAGGGCCAGAAGAGTACAGTTCCCTGGAACTGGAATTAAGGATGAGTGTTAGTCACCATGTGGATGCTGGGAACCGAACCCAGATTCTCTGGAAGAATAGGAAGAGCTCTTAACTGCTGAGCCATCTTTCTAGCCCCTAAACTTGGTCTTTTTATCTTCCGAATGTTCTAAGCCTTTAGTAACCCGACACTTTTGTCTTCACTTCAAATTCCTTCAGCTCTTTGACATAGCCCACATCAATGGGGTCAATTATACAGATCACTCCTAAGATGATTTGGAGACGTTTCAGAGAGGCCACATTAGCTACTTGGTCCTTCGTCTCACCTGTGACAAAACAGACATGCTCTGGTTTTCTTTCATATGGGTGAAATGGTCTTTGAAAGAAACCGGCTTATCCACATATGCAGATGTGTAGTACTGTCACAGTTCTGAAAGCTTCTCATGACTTGAGTCTTTGAATTCTAAGCTTCGTATTTTGGGGGAACTGCTCATAAAACTTTTTTTTAAAAAAAGTTCTCTTTATTTTCTGCTAGTTTAGTGAACAGTTCTAAGCATTTGTTTTTTAAAAAACCAAATTCAGATAACTTTCAAACTTTGGCATTGCTGCAACACTTCATGATAAATACTCAAGAGGGAGATCCCTGGGATGTATCACATCTCTAATAAAATTCAGGTGCTCAGGGAGTAATTCCTCACAGCTATTCATGCTGAACATTCTGCATACATACGGCTGACTGCTGTTCTTTGTGTTTTCAAATAGATGAAAAGGAACATGCCTTGGGACAAAACAAAGAACTTGGAATTCCAACTGTCCTTCAACAGAAAAACGTTTTGCTGCCAAGTGTCCTTCCCCATTGTTGGTCAAGCGCTTGTAGAACTCTTTATACTTGTTTCACGTCCTCAGGATTTCTGGTCCAAAGAGGCTTTGCTTTGTGAGCTCTTCCTGATCAGTGGACTTTCCCTAGCCATCTTCTTCTTTTCCTTGTCACCATCCTTTTCTTCTGCTTTTTCAATGGCACCAACGTGTTCTACTTCAGGTTTACCATCGGACTCCTTCCCATCTCTTTCTTTTCTTCAGCCTCATCACTGCTGACCTTTTAATTTATTATTAATAAAAAAAATTAAAAAAAATTGTATGTGTATGAGTGTTATGCCTGCATGTAGGTAAGTGCACCCATATCGTGGCAGTGCCCTTGGAGGACAGAAGAGTGTTGGATCCCCTGGAACTGAAGTTACAGACAGTTGTTAGCTGCCATGTGGGTTCTGGGATTCGAACCTGGGTCTTCTGCAAGAACAGCCAGTGTTCTTAACCACTGAGTTACCTTTCCAGCCCCCACTGCTGACCATTTTATTGTGTTTCTTCTCCATGAAGAGAGGAACGGGATAGCCAATAACTGGGAATGTTTCTGCATAATCCACTTTATTCTTCTTTCCTACAAGTATTCAGGCTGGCATTCTTTCAGATGCAGGATAACCTCTGTCCTGATCCTGAGGGTCCCGAGCCACAGGTTCTTGTCAGTCCTCTCTGTGCGTGGTCCCGTAGAGGACTCTGAGGCATGCTGCTCATCATCATATTTGGTGATCAAATCACTTTCTCAGCAACCACCTATGCAGAACAAAACCTAACACCAAATGGGCAATCATGGTGATATCTGTGCCAGCCTGCAAAGCCTCCATGAAAGTTTTGATCCTAGACTTGGCGATAGCATCACAGCTACTGATCAACTTGGTCTTGGATCAGATCTTGTTTGCTGGGAATTAGATTAATGTGCAGTTCCTCCCTAGGGTCTAGTTTACTGGAATCTGTCAAGTTTCCTGTCTGATTTTGTTCAGAGCATGATTTATTTCAAATAAGCTCGTTCAAAAAGATCTCTTTGCTTGAACAGAAAATATTAATGATCAATGACATTAACTGGGCAATTTCTGCCTAAAAGGCAAAAGTCGCAACATTTTTCTCCCATCTTGGGTCTGGGTTTCCTTATATGTTGGCTGAGTGAGCACACAGGCTCTGTAGTGTAGCAGTATTTGGGAAGCTGAAGTGAGTCTCTCTCTCTCTCTTAAAACAAGAGTCTCATATGTAGCCCAGACTAGCCTGGAACTCACCAGGCTGGCCCTGAATTTGCAGCAATCCTTCTATGTCTACCTCCCGAGTGCTGACATTACTAGTGCCTCATCAAGGCCAGCTGATAACCCTTCTAGTCTAATGTTCTTTCTTCCCGGTTTCTAAGATTTGTGGTACTTTGTTTCCTTTGGGGAACCTGCATAACACAATGGGAAAAGCATGGGTTTCAATGCTAGAAAGATAGTTTGGATCCCAGTTTTGCATTTGTTTGTAATGTTGTGAGGCTTATTATAAGCAAGTCCCTTTACCTTGTACCAGCCTCAGGTTTATTTTATTTTTTAACCAGTACAATAGGACTATGGCTTAGCTCCTATGTCATGTCCTTGATCTTGCCTCCAACTTTTTTTTAATATATTTTATTTATTATTTTATGTGTATACGTGTACTGCCTGCATGTAGGTAAGTGCACCTGTGTTGTGCAATGTCCGGGGAGGTCAGAAGAGGCCGTCGGATCCCCTGGGACTGGAGTTACAGACAGGTGTTAGCTGCCATGTGGGTGCTGAGATTTGAACCCAGGTCTTCTGTAAGACAAACCAGTGTTCTTAACCACTGAGCCATCTCTCCAGCCCCCAAACTCACACAAGTCTCAGCCTCTCTATTGTTTTCATCTTCCTTTCTAGGTTGTGAGATCCACAGGTGGAAGAGACTATATGTTTGCTTATCACTATTAAAATCCCTAGTACCTAGCCTCTACCAAACACATATCACTGCTGAATATTACACATGTACTATGATTAGAGTGAAGATTAAAAACAATTATGTAAAGCACTTAGAATGGGACCGTACAAAGTAGGTGATCAGAAAATGATAATCACTTATTGGGTGTCAAGAAAAAGCTAGTATTTCAAGGTAGCCCAGAGCCTGTGACCGCTCTACTGCTTGGTGTCTCAACACCAATTTCCTTAGTTACTGCCTTGAAATTAGTTCTTTAACTGCAAACTGCTAGAAAACACATAAATTTACTTACTACCTGAGGAAACAGAACATTGCTACTGCAAAATCTGCAAGCTAAACAGAGGTGGCACTGGGTGGTGCTATGAACTCTGACTTGGCAAACATGTTCACCTAACGCTTCTTCAAGGCCAGGCTTCATTCCTTGATGACAAATGAAGACACACAAGGTTCCTAAAGTATTAGGGATTCCAGGTTGCCCCATGATGGGGGAGAGGGTAGGGTGGGGCTATCTATTGCTTTTATGGACTACAACCTACTCTTATTCTTACTCCCTGTTCACATGGTTTTCTGCAGGGTTAATCTTGCCTCTAAAGCTTGAGCATATGACATGGCCCTGGCCAATTACAACATTCTGGCGCCCTGTCCAAAGTGAAAGGATCAGGATGGGAAAGTAAACCAGTTCAATCTAGTGAAAATCCAAGACCTTTGGTAGAATACTGGGAAAAAGGGCTGGAGAGATGGCTCAATGGTTAAGAGTACTTGCTGAGCAAGCATGAAGACCTGGGTTTGGATTCTAGCATTCATACAAAAGCTAAGGTGGCCTTGTGCAAACCTGTAACCTTAGTGCTGTTGTGGGAGGCACAGAGAGTAAGAGGATCACTGGTGCTTGCTGTCAGCTCAACTAGCAAAATAACACGAGCTTCAGATTCAGTGAAAGATTCTTCCTCAAAAGACACTGGGAAAGAAAAGCCATCTCTTCAGTAGCTTTGCCGAGCTAAGAAGATACATGTCTACAGTCAGGTGTCATTCTGCCAGTTCAAGTAGAAAACTGGCATAAAGACAGAACAAAAGCAAGGACAGTAGGGCTGAAGTGCCAGCAAAGAGACCAAGTCTTGAAGATATAGTCTGACTTTGGACTTGGTCATGTCTGAACTTCTCACTTAAGCAAACTCAAATTGTCTCTTTTGGCTTAAGGCAGTATAACTCAAAGAACTTTAACTCAGACTCACCATAATACCAGAATAAACCCAATAGTCAGTGAATGGAGATGCTAAACAAAACAGTGAATTTTTCCGACCCTTCCCTATACTAAGGAGAAATATGCTATGGGCTCTTACTTAGTCTGCTTGTTGACCACAATAACAGAGCAATCCACGGGTCTCTCAGCATCAAAGCGCCGCTGGATGTCCTCAAAATACTGCCGATAAAGTTCTTCTCTACGTCGTTCCTCACGTTTCAAACGCTCTGCAAGATACCAGCAGAGAAAGCAGAAATAAGGATGGTTCTTCTATTTAAAAACAAAAACAAAAACCCATAGGACACTCTGAATTAATCCTCAACTCTATCTCTTAAAAAATAATCAGTGTGGGACTGGAGAGATGACTCAGTGGTTAAAAGCATTGGCTGCTCTTGCAGAGGACCCGGGTTCAGTTCCCAGCACCTACGTGATGGCTAACAATCATCTGTAACTCCAGTTTCAGGGGATCCAACACCCTCTTCCGACCTCTGTGGGCACTGCACAACACAGGTACACTTACATACATGCAGGCAACACACTCATACACATAATATTTTTAAAAAACCATAGCCATTTTAATGTTTTTATCTACTAACCTGACCTCGAGAAAGGCTGTTATAAATTTATACCTCAAAATAGATGGATCAGGGGTTAGAGAGATGGCTCAGTGGTTAAGAGTCCCAGCACCCACAAGGTGGCCTAACTCTAGTCCCAGGAGATTCAACACTTTCTTCCACAGGCATTGCATCACACGGGTGAACTTATATACACGTTCACATAGCATGCATACACATAAAATATAAATAATAAACTTTTTTTAAAAAGAGGTGGATCTGCCAGCATGGTGACTCATGTCTGTAATCTCAGCACTTGGGAAGCTGAGGCAGGAAGACTACTGCGTTCATGGTTGGCCTGGCCTACACAGCAAGTTCCAGGCCAGCTTAGGCTATATAGCAAGGAGGCCTTGTCTCAGAAAAAAGCCAGGTACACACCTAGATTCTCAGCCTTCAGGAGGTTGAAGCAGGATCAAGATCATCTACAACTACAGAATGAGTTTGAGACAAGCTTGGCCTACATGAAACTCTGTCTCAAAAAAACCAAAAGGTGAACCACCCATTGCTTATTTCTCCCAATACTTTAGCCAACACCAGCTATTTTCACTCTTTTAATTTCTGCCCGCTTGACAGATGTATTTATTATTCTAATGTGCATTTTTGTGAAACAATAACAACAAAAAAAATCAGGTACCAAAATTTTGTAAAACCTAATCTTAGCCAAAAGGACAAAGATCTCTGCCTGGTCAGATATGAAACAATATAAAAATCTTTAAAAACATACTGGAAAAAAAAACAAACAAAACCCCTCTAGACTATAGAAAAATAAGTAATCATTTACCTTTACCTAAAAATAAGATGCTGGTCAAAGAACCAGTAACGTAGGGTTATAGTTATCTGGAGAATGAGCAAAAAGGCAAGTCGTTAAAGCCTTCAGCTCTAATCTTTTGCTCATTTCTCACAGCTGGAATTTCGTGTTTCTTATTGGATGACTAAACTAGATGATGATGCTAATTTGCACTTAAGAATTATTTTCAAAAGAATGTTCTCTAAATATTTACGGGTTACTTATATTCTTTTTTTGAATTCTTGGCCAAGTTGTTAGCCTTTTCAGTTGGGGTACTAGTTATTAGCATATCTTTCTTTTGTAAGCATACTACCAATAACAGGAATATGCTATTTCTGTGACTTTACCTTTTGCACGAGACTGACTTTCTGGGCCAGGAGGGCCTCGTCCATCAAAGCTGTCTCTGTACCGGTCAAAGTAAGAGTCATCCTTTCTCCTGCAATAATCATCCATCCTCAGATACCGGTCATAAGAACCTTCTCTCCTGAAATGTTAAGGAAAATTTCTCAAGTTACAACTGTCCTAGCCTATAAAAATCAGATGCAGAGAATTCTTCAAGACCCAAGTCCCTCTAAGGCAGGCACAGGATTTTGGGATTAGACACACATGTATGTAGGATTCATTACTTAAAATCTCTGTGGCTGTGACTAAGTTAACTCATCTCACAAAATGATAGGGGCAGGGGATGAATAGATATGGTGTACAGAAAACACTTAGGGATAAATAAAAATGATGATAAATAGTGACATTAAAGAACCATTTCATGCTTCCATTTCTCTTCCCTGTGTTTTAAAAAAATATATAGTAAAATGGGTATCAATAACTAACCATTTTAACTTTTTCATTTTTTCTTTTTTTTGTCTTTTTGAAGCAGGGTCTCCCTGTAGCCCTAGATGTCCTGGAACTCACTATGTAGACCAGGCTGGCCTTGAACTCACAGAGATCCGCCTACCTCTGCTGGGACTACAGGCGTGAGCCACCACACCCGGCTAACAACTTTTTCTTTTTTAAAAAATATTTTATTGTTTTTATTTTATGTGTATGAGTGTATTGCCTACACATATGGAAAAGTACACCTGTGTCATGCAATGCCCATGGAGGTCAGAAGACAGCACCGGATTCCCTGGAACTGGAGTCACAGATGGTTGTTAGCTGTCATTTCTGTGTTGGGAACTGAACCCAGGTCCTCTGCAAGAGCAGCCAATGCTCTTAACCGATGAGCCTTCTCTCCAGCCCTCCCCTTTTTAAAAATTTTGAGACAGGATCACACTACATAGTCCCGGCTGGCCTTGAATTCACAGAAATCTGCCTGCCTCTGCCTTCCAAGTGCTGGGATTTCTGTTGTTTTAATCAATTCAAACAAAAATTCTACTCATCAAGCAGTAACTCATTTGCTTACTCTTTCCAGTCCCTGATAAGCTCTACTTCCAGTCTCTATGAATGTGCCTAATCTATGGATTTCATAGAAGTAGACTCACACAGTATTTGTTATCGTGTTTGGCTTACTTCATTTAGCATGTTTTCAAAGTCTACCTGTGTCTTAACATATATCAGCATTTCATTTAGTTTTATGACTGAATAATATTACATTGCATAGATAGGCAAGTAACTTTTTTTTTTTTTGGTCTTTTTGAGACAGAGGGAGGCTCCCTTAGCTGCAGCTAGCCTAGAACTTACTACGTAGACCAGGCTGGCCTTGAACTCACAGAGATCCACCTGCCTCTATCTCCCAGGTGCTGGGATTAAAGGCGTGTGCTACCACACCCAGCTCAAATAACATTTTTAATCCAATCATCTGCTGATGGGTAGCTGGCTTGTTTTTGTCTTTAGATTTGTATGGAAAGTGCTGCTACGTACCTTTATACACGGTTATCTGAATCCTTCAAATCTTTAACTTTGTGTGTGTGTGCACACGTGCTCGCATATGCACATGGAGGCCAGAGGTTTGATATCTTCCTTGATCATTCTCCACTTTATTTTCCAAACATATTCTATTTGTTACTTTCTTTAAATTTTATTATTTTTATTTTATGTGTATGAGTATATTGTCTGCATGTATGTGAGTGCACCCATGTCATGCAATGCCGTGGAGGTCAGAGGAGGGCTTCAGATTCCCCTGAACTAGAGTTAAGGATGGTTCGTAGACACCATGTGGGTGTTGGGAATTAAATCCCGGTCCTCTGCAAGAGCAGTCAGTGCTCTTAACCACTGAGCCATCTCTCCAGCCCCTTATTTGTTATTTTTATTTTATGTGGATGAGTGTATGCCTGCATTGGTCAGAAGAGGGTACTGGATTCCCCTAGAACTGGAGTTATGGACAGTTGTCAGCTGCCATGTGGGTGCTGGGAATCAAACCTGGGTCCTCTAAAAGAGCAACCAGTGCTCTTAACCACTGAGCCATCTCTGAAGCCCCACTTTATTTTTTGAGACGATCTTTCACTCAACCTGGAGCTCATCCACTTAGCTAGGGTGGCTGGCAACAAGTCCAGGGACCCGCTTGTCTCTAGCACCCTAGTGCTAGGGTCACAGATATCTGCACTGCACCTGGGTTTATGTGGGTGCTGAGAATCTGAATGGAGGCCCTCACACTTGGGCAGCAGGCACATCACTGTTTGAGCCATCTCCCTAGTTCCAAATTCTTTTAACTTTTTGAGAAATTCCTTAATCATTTTCTACAGTGAGTATATGCCATTTTACACGGCCATTAGCAAAGTGTAAGGGTTCCAATTTTCCCATATCTTGCTAATAATAGTTTTCTCTATCTTTTGTAAAAGTCATTTGAAGCATCTTAATATATATAAAGTAGGATCTCACTGTGGCCTTCATTTGCATCTGTCTGGTGACTCATGTTGTTGAACATAATTCATGTAATTATAGACTACCTGCACACTTCTGTCTTCTTGCATTGCCAATCTAATTTGTACTCCACTTGTTTCCAATTGTATAATGTTGCCTTTCATGGGACAGAGACAGATCTAGATTCTTTTTACATTAAAAAAAAAATTATTTTATGTGTATGAGTGTTTTGCCTGCATGTATGTAGGTGCATGGGTGAAATGACTGCAGAGGTCAGAAGGGGGCATTATATCCTCCTGGAAGTGGGGTTATGGACAGCTGTTAGCTGCCATATGGGTTTTGGGAGCTGAACCTGGGTCCTCTGCAAGAGCAGCCAGTGCTCTTAATTGCTGAGCTATCCAGCCCCAGGTCCAGACTCTCAATAAGCATCCTTCATCAATCATTCACACATACAACAAACTCCCTGAACACCACATCTACTACTTGATAGACACTGGAAAATAGAAGGTTGCCTGTACAATCTTCAATTAGTGTAGCCAAACAGACCTAAGAAAGATTGCTAACAAAAGGCAGGCAAGAAAGCTGTCCATACCTGTACAGAGGATCACGGGAGTCTCTTATGTCTCTGTATCTGTCGTACAAAGGATCTCGGTGATCTCGAAAATCTCTAGAGTCTCTCAGATCACGGAAGTCCCTAAAATCCCTCAGGTCCCGAGCATCACGTATATTTCTGCTGTCTCTGTGATCCCGAATATCCCTGCTGTCTCTGTGGTCCCGCAACTCTCGAGGGTCTCGAATGTCTCGGCTATCACGGGCATCCCGGCCATTTCTACCATCTCTGGGTTCTCTCCTTGGACTTCCTCGAATTGGAGAGCGATCACGCCTTGTATCTCGGCTGTCTCCAAAGCCATATGGATCCCTATGGGAGGTAGCAAGAACATACTAAGACAAAGAAACTGCAGGTAGCCAGCCCTTCAACTCTTTATAGGCGTGAGCCCTACCCTTCAAGTGCTTTTCTCTAAAATACAGCACTCTAACAGTGAGAGCAGGACTAAAAAGTTAAGGACAGTCACCCGTCTTATTAGCAAATAAGGCCTATAAGGTTCTAGACTCTCAAAAGATTACAACATTAAAGAAGAATGCATGACCAAAAGTCAAAAAATTTGACTCAAGTATTTATCAGGCTTCAGGTAGTAATTCAGTATTCCTTACATATGCCAAATGGCTCTCAGTTTCAACAGGTTTTTAAAGCAAAATTGCTTTTCCCCTAAAATTTTTTTCTTCCTCCTGATTTTCTGAAATTGACTTTAGAAGAGTCAGAAAAAAAGGGGGTCACAGTAAGGAACAAGGCTCATAAAGAAAAAAAACAAGCCAACCGTTAAGCTCTTTATAGGAGGAAGTGCCCACCCTTAAATACGTTCCTCTAAAACACAACACTTAAGAGGGCGCAGGACTGGAATTTTAAGGACAATCACACTTCTTTGTCACCCTGCTCTGACACGGTATCAAAGTAATGAAAGTAATCATTTTTAAAGATTTATTTTTATTTTATGTATATGAGTGTTTTGTCTGTATGTATGTGCATGCCTGGTGCCCATGGAGGCCACACGAAGGCATTGGATCATATGGAGCTGGAGTTATAAGTGGAGTTGTATGTGGGTGCTGAGAACTAAACCTAGGTCCTCTGTAAGAGCAGCCAGTGCTCATAAATGCTGAGCATCTTTGCCTTCATTCGCCTTACACTATCTAGCAGGACAATAAGATCAAGGGGAAGAAGCAATAATCTGCTATGTTCAGGGAAGGCTTAAAATCACCAACCTTGTCTTGCATAGCATGGGGCAGTGATTTCTTCCAATCTAAGGGTGCAGTCTTTGAAACTGGTGGCATGCTTGTATTGCTCTGACTCAATAAACTTCATGAGACACTTCGCTCACTGGAAACTTATCCGCAACATACTTAAAATTAAAATGTTCTTAGTTCAATCCAACCGGGCACATTCCCTTTTTCACTTCTGACTAAAACAGTCTGTCCAGTTAACCAAGGTCTAAGTTCTTAAAAATTAACTGTTTCTTCTTCCCCTATCCCATTAAGTCAGCTGCGTTTTCTGTTTTCTTCTTTCCATGCCACTCAGATTTTAGTTTCTCTACTTGGAAAATTTTTCCTAGACCAAGTTCATATACCATGTCTTCCAGACAACTTCCCCACTCTTCCTAGTAACTGCCTTTCCCCTGTTCAACTCTTCAAGTTTGACTCATCTAGACCTGACACTTATCTTTGTGCGTCTTATGTCTGACCCACTTTAAGGATTACCTTCTCCACCAAACCTGCCCTAAACTTCTACCTGTCCCAATAACTGGGTTCTTCCTTCAGTCCTTTCCACCTCAGTAAATGACATGTACATTCAAGCCAGGAATCTGGACATTATTTACTTTTCTAGTAATTTCTAAATTGTATGTATGTTGGTCTCTGAAACTGGTGCCAGTTCTACTTTACTTTCATTGGCACCACTGAAGGCCAGCTCATGAGCTAGTCCCCAAACCAAAGAACCATCTAGCTTCCTAATTTCTGCTCTGGCCTCTTTTCTAATCTTCCTCCAGAAAGATTACTCTAAAGAGAACATTAAAAAAACCTTCACTTGTTTCTCATAGTATTTCGAATTCCATAATAATAATAAAAATCTCCACCAAGGCTAGAAAGGTCCTACATGATGATCTTGGTTCCTATCTTTTCCAACCCTGCTACACGTTCTTCCTAATTCACAACTTTCTTGCCATATTAGCCATTTATCCACAACTAGGCCAGATCTTTCCTGATCCCTTTGTGTAGCAGGAATGGACCCATATTCTTTTTCTAGGTTTTGGTATAAAAATATCCTTCACTCTCTGATTCTGTTAAGTTTATTTTTTGATTATCTAAGACAGGGTCTCATAGCCCAGGCTGGTCTGGAACTCACGATCCTCCTGCTTCAAGAGTGCTGAGATTACAAGTGTGTGTCACCATGCCTGATTCTGTTGGTGTCAGATGTGGCAGCACATATCTGAAATCCCAGCATTCAGGAAGCTAAGGTGAGAGGATCATCATGAGTTTGTGGCCAGTCTATACAATGAGTAGCATACTAGCTGGAGCTACACAGTGAGATCGTTTCATAAAAGGGGGAAAAAAACCCACTTCTGACTCTAAATTTTCAAGTTTTTCTTTTTTCCTGCATGTGTGTGAGGTACTGGGGATCAAACCCAAGGCTTCATACATGTAGAGCAGGTATTCCCCACTGAGCAGCACCCATCCTCCCAATTACTTTGTGTTTAATGTCACTTAGCACAGATTTACACTATATATTTGCATAATGTGTCTTCTCTAGTATACTGCAACCTCTGCCAGGACAAAGATGTCAGTTTACTTCTATACTTGAATGTACTATACAGAACTGTGTCTGAAAGATGCTCAATAAATATGTTGAATGAACTTGCTTCTTTTAAAAATATTCTATTTCGCACGTCTTTAATTCCAGCACTTGGGAGGCAGAGGCAGGCAGATCTTTGTGAGTTCGAGGCCAGCCTGGTCTACATAGTTCCAGGACAGCTGGGGCTACAAGAAGACCCTGTCTCAAAAAAACAACAACAACAAAAATTCTATTATTATTTTTAATAAAAATTCTATTTATTATTATTTTTAATGTGTATGTGTGTATTGCCTGCATGTAGATAAGTGCACCCGTGTCGTGCAATGCCCGCAGAGGACAGAAGAGGCTGTTGGATCCCCTGGAACTGGAGTTATGGACAGTTGTCAGCTGCCATGTGGGTAGTGGGATTCAAACCTGGGTCTTCTGCGAGAACAGTCAGTATTCTTAAGTGATGAGCCATCTCTCCAGCCCTAAACTTGCTTCTACAATACTCTTATCACTGCACTTACCAATCTGCCTTGTAGTAACAGTCATGTCCTGCATAATATTTGCCATCAATGTACAAGAGTTCCTCTAAGATCATATCATGTAGTGAAATTGTAGCTGTCTATATGTAAGTACACTTTACAATATTCCAAAAACAGTAACAATTAACCCAACATCACAGTCTCAGAATATAGCTCCATTCATCAGACAGTGTATGATTTTGTGTACCCGGATTCCCTACCAAACAGAAAGCTCTCTTGAAGGCTTTGTCTCCCTAGGATTCAGTAGGTGTTTAATGAGTTCGGCCACTTTACTAAGCTCTAAGCCCCTGAAGAGCAGGTATCCCATTCTGTTTATACTGCTGTCATTTATCACCAGGTGCACACACTAGGCATTCATCACAGTGTTGTTGGCATGGCAGAAAATCTCAATTTCTTTCTTTTGTTTTTGGTCTTTTTGAGACAGGGTCTCCTTGTAGTACCAGCTGGCCTGGAACTTGCTCTGTAGACCAGGCTGTCCTCCAACTCAGAGATCCGCCTGCCTCTGACTCCCTAGTACTGGGATTAAAGGTGTGTGCCACCACCCCCGACCCAGAAAAATCTCAATTTCATTTCACCCTTACAGCTACAGCAAAAACAACTTAAATGCAACTTTGTTTCTAAAAGTCCTTGTTTTATATATAAATTTTGTTTTTGTCTTTTGGTTTATGTTGCTTAGAATGGTCTCAAAGTCCTGGGCTCAAGAGTTCTTTCTGCCTTGGTTTCCAGAGTAGCTGGGACTCTATGGTCATCTATTTTAAGGCCCTCTAGTACTCTTGATTTGTGGGAGCAATCATATGGTAGATAGGTATTTAAACAAGTGCTAAACATTCTGATCAGATCAAGTGCAGACTAATCAAGACTGCCTAACCTTACCTATTATGTCACAGACTCCTCCAACCACACGTAACATCTGATGCCGAGTAAAATGTGGGCAAACAGTCAGGATCCGATAGGAAATGACAAATGCAAAGTATTTTTAGATTATTAATGATCGGCGGATAAACCCTGCCTTGGGGAGTGATTATAAGTAGTCATTAGAGGTGGAATCAGATTTCAAGTGTTCTTGGCAATCAGGACTGAAATATCATGAGCCTGACAGACCACAGACCACATACAAAGTCTTGAGCTGGTAAAAATTTGGGAAAGAACACCATGTCACAGCATGTTATTCACAGCCTTAGGACAATTTAAAATGCCATATCTGGTTCTCATTTTTATTCTATTTTTATTTTTGTGGTGTTCCTACATGCTAGGCAAACACTGTTACTGATCTACATCCTCAACTTAATGGTTCTCCTTCTTTTCATTCCTGTTTTCAGAGCCTGGGACCATGCTTCCAGGATGACACAGCAAGTTCGTCCCCCTCCCTCAAAGAACCTAAAGTTCACATACAATAAAACTACTAATTCTCTTCTGGATAAACATGTAGAAGAGGTGATGTTCACCAGGGGAACAGAACTAAACGAGTGGTGGAGTAGGGGCAGAGAGAGAGAAATCCTCCAAAATGGAAAGGCAAAGTTTTTTCCTTCCTCCAGAAGATCAACAATATGGCAGATTGTTGATCTTCTGGAGACAAAAAAAACAAGACAAAAAACTCTTTTAGGGTCAATTTAGGACCCAAATAACAAACTCCTTAGAACAAGAGCGCTCTGGTTTTTGATCACAGCATCTTTCGTAAAACAAGAACACAGTTAACAAAAGGACGGTACTGTGTTCAGGATTCTGAGCTAGGAGGCGACAAAGCCTCCTGCACGAGGAGCTTGACCTCAGAGGATAAGTAGGTTACAACCCAAGTTTCTGAAGCACAAAAAGGTTGACAGCATCACTGCATGGCACCAGAGGCATTTTACAAAGGGAAACCAGTGTCACTAGAGCCTGAGAAGAAACTGAACACAGCAGTTAAAGAAGTACCAGCCAGCACTACAGTTTACAAACTGAAGCAAGTGGTAAACACCAAATTTTGCTGTGAGTTCCTTATCTACTCAGCAAGGGGGAGAGGGGAGGTGCAAATGTTGTTTTGAGAGACAGTCATATTACTGGGAAACATTAGCGGTAAGGCAGAGGTGGGTGAAGGGAAAAATCATGGCTCGATGGCAGGTGGTGTGCTTCTGGTTGGTATAATTCTCTTGCTGGGGACTACAGGAGCTTGTAGATCAAGAGCACTGGGCATCTGAACACAGAGAGAGCAAGAACTGACAGATGGCCATCTTGGGAGATGGGATGACTTGTGCTGTTTTTCAGCAAGCTTGAAACTTCAGATCCAGGATGGCAGTCTTTGTCTTGGCTGTACAGAAGGTTCAGGAGAAAGATACTCATCTTTTTCACTTTTTTTTCTGTAGAAGTCAGCGACTTTTTTTCTTCCTCTGTGTTACTGGAATATTTTCCTTGGAAGGGTCAGCCTTCTTTTGCCTCAGAAAATCCTTCATCAGCTCTTCAAACTCCTGTCACAATTCCTGCCCACAAATATCATTACCTAAATAGCTGGCTGCTGTGTGGCATTGATTCTCCATCATGATGGTTCTATGCTTTTAGAGATAAACGATTTGTGTAGAACCTCGTCATCAAATGCAGGGAGGATATAGGGTGCAATCAGATTTACATCTTATAGATACAAATTGTGTAAGTACCCATGCCTCTCCCTAGGAAGCATGACAACCACCAATACAACATTCCTGCTGGTAAAGGTGGCACTTCCTAAGAACTGATGATTTCTCTTCAAGTACTAGTGAAGAGCTAAATCATAGCCTAGAATCTTTGTGAGGCCATTGAGAGCTGGTGATTTCGTACCAAGGAACAAGCAGTTATTGGAGGAATTAAGGCCCTGGGGACAAGTAAAAAGTACCTCAGGTCATATAGGAAATTTGTCCACAGCTAGGTTATTCCCAATGAGCCAACTCCCATTGGCTTGCACTTGATTCAGTCACTGAAGGGCTTAGGCCTATATACTAGTGTTGGACAACTTAGACGATAATTTTTCAGTGTACTCAAAGGGATCCAAGAAAGGGGCCTAAGAGTTCTACGTTAAGAATTCTGGCTGAAATGTGACCCTGAGTAGTGATCCATGCAGAGTTCTGTGTTTGGCCAGGCCAACAGTGTCAAAATTATACCTCGACAGCTGGACTCAGTAGGGAGGCATATTACTGAACACAGAACAAGGCCTACAGAACTGTGGCATACAGGGACATCTTTAGAGGTGATAATCCTGTGAAGACTCCAAGGATACCTAGGTGTTTTGACACTCAGGGTTAAAGTCCCGCAAAACAAAAGTGTTATGAAGGTCTTGCCAGCATGTTTAAAAACAATTTTCGTATTAAAGTAGATAGCACTACAGCATAAAGGAATACCTTAAGGAAATGTTGGCATTCAGTTCAGTGTTGTGCCCCATTCCACAAACAATATGCTCCCTGTGCTGGGGCACACAGAAGGACCAGGGCTGCTAAATGAAAGCAGCTCAGATGCTGCATCACCTAAACATTTTGACTAGATGCACACCCCCAAAGGAATGACACCAACTGCTGACCCTCAGAGGAATCATGAGCCCTTCCAGGTTATTCACATGCCTATACTTGCATTTCACTGCTGGTCTCTTGGTGAATCGGGAAATCAAGCATCATCGTGGCAATGACCAAACGTCAATGCTTCACTTTGAGTACAATGCTGGGTTTGTTTTTGTTTTTGTTTTAAAAAGGTAAAGATCCAGGATTCCTTGTTCAGCTTTTAGGTGGGGCTCCGAACAAATTTTATCAAATGCGATCATTCTTTTTTGCCTGAAACAAACAAGCATGACTATATGGAACTTTATCACACTAAATAGCATGCTGAGGAACCCAGTTTATATCAGTTACATCTCATCAAAGAGAAACTGCTAAAAAAAACCAAAACTGTTAGTCAAATGATACTAGCCAGCAGGAAGCCACTGCAGCCAAACACCTTATTTTAGAACTTAGTTCTGAGGAAGACGGTTTATAAAGGTGACTACTTATATTTATATACTTGGTAAGGAGCACATTTGGAAAGGCCTTCTCCTCACCTGCTTACGTTTGCTAACCTGTAGAAAGGCTATTACTGGAAAAAAAAGAAAAAAAAGCATCAAATTCTTTCTTCCCTGTACTTGACATTATAGAGGTGCACTTTAGGTTGGAATAATATTAATCTCTTTAATTTAGTGCCCTGGTAATGGCTATATTGGACTCTAACCAAAGGCGTTGATTTCTCCAGAACTGCAATGCTTGAATATTTACAATCAACTAGAAATGTTAAAACAAACTTCCTAAACATCATTATGTGAATGATATAAAAATGCCTTCTCCATCCTTAACAGAAACAAGAACAAATCTGTTCTATGAAGTGTCTACTTTTTTCTTTTCTTTCTTTAGTTTGCAAAACAGACACTACTACTCAGAGATCACCAGCAAGAGGGGGACATCCTTCTAATGGAGTCAGTGTCTTTATAGTTACAAATTCCATACTCCTCTCAAGTCACTTAAGAAAAATACATAGTAGAGCCCTTTGGAAATTAGACACACATATTTCCACTTTTAAGCCATGTGGCAACTTACATCTTCCGCTGGAGGCCCTACAAGTCTGACCACTAGTGGCAGACTCTTAGCTATCCTACTGCCCTCCTATTGGGACACTGCCCTACAGCTACAGAGCACTTAATGTAGCCTAATGAAAGCAGACATTTCATGGAATCGTTAAGCTTTAAAGATTATTTGCATTCTCCAGGCTATATGCACACCAACACAGCATTTACCTGCAAGCCATAGGTATTCTTAATTTTTTATTTTTTTGAGACAGGCTCACATGTATCTCATGTATGGAGCTGATAACTTTGAACTCCACCTCCTAGATGCTGGGATTATGGGCATGTGCCACATCTAGTTTATGTGGTGCTGGGGATGAAACCCAGAGCTTTGTACATGCTATGCAATCACTCTACCAACTGAGCAACATCTGCAGCACATTACAGGCATTCTTTATGGGATCTGGAAACAAAGTAATAATGTATGTGCCTATTTGTACAGTGAAACCAATAGATGGCCAGGGCATCCATTTTGACAGCTGTGGCAGAGCTGTATGTAGTTGTAGTGTTGGATTCAATGCCTCTGTGTAGGCAAGAATGGACAAAGGATTCAACTGAACCCAGAAGCATTACCCTGTCCTTAGTATCTGCATGAATTCTGCAGAGTAGACACACGGAATTTATTTCTAGTAGCTAGAAAACACCTTCCCTTCATATCCAAGTGAGAGCATAAACAGTACAGCAGTCATTCTTTCTCATAAGTAGGCAACAAAATTTACAGGTGGTTTTGTTGAAGAACAGGACAGCTATGTCATGTGTAAGTGCTTAGTTGGCTGGGTTATGTCCCTAGTCTCGTGGAGTGCACACTAGGATTCATTGTATTTGGTATGATTGTATTTAGTTCACTGTAGGGAATATAGTTTATTATTCTATTTTTTAATTAATTTATTACTTGGGGGTGGCATGTATGCCACGGCGCACGCGTGTGGGGGTCAGAGGATAACCTGTGGGAGTCAGCTCTCTCCTTCCACTATGTGGGTCCCAGGGATTCAATTTAAGTTGTCAGCTTGGCAGCAAGCACCTTTACCTGCTGAGCCATCTTACCAGCCCAGAATGTAGTTTATTGTGTGATATAATTTAGGTATGTAGTTTCTGTGGCTATCTGGCATTTTACCTATGGGCAAAGGCAAAATCCAGAGTATACATTTGAGCCTTGAAGACACACCAGACACGAAACATATCTTAACTATCATCCACACAAAACTGCACACACTGCATCCTACTTGTATGCTGCTACGGAGACTACAAAGTTTGGATACAAACTCATCTTTGCAAAGTGGTATTGTCAAGTCCTCCCTCGAGCCAAGGGACCAATTCAATTCATATCCTGAAGAATTCATAGGATTATGACTTTTGTGTATACTAGAAGCAAGAGTGTACTGGGAAAATGCCTTCTGTTTTCAGGAAAGCTCAGAAAAAGGGAGACTTTTGAGAGGTGGAGTATTTTGCCCTTTTTATTTCCCCCTCAAACAGGTACCCCAAACATGCAAACAGGGGGTCTGTAGCACAGCCACAGCAGCAATCTCTCAAGCAGCTCTTTCCGTAAACCTGTGTTAACATCTGGACCGGCAGCCATCTGCAATGAAGAATCAAATCTCTGCTGCCTGCTGCCATGCAGCATGGCACACACCAACGACCCTGGGCCCTCCTGTTCTGGAGGCTCCCATTGACACGTGAGCTGGGAAAAGACAGAGGTTTATCCTCTTCCAATTGCCTGCAACTCATGCTGCAAGCTGAACTTGCTGGGTTTGCCACCGGAAACACAAGCTTCCTCCGTATCTCCTGATGTGATTTTAAAAAGTAGCAAGGCCCTTCACACAAGGTTCTCGTTCTTATTGTTTGCTTGAGAGTTTCTGATTTGTTGGGGGGAAGAAAAGACCCTTGATGTGTGAAGTTGGGCTTAACTCCCCAGAGCCCAACTCTCCCAAGGTAACTCACTGCTTCAGGGTACTTTACCTTCGTGTGGGGCTGGGTCTTGATGGAGCCGTATTCATATTTCTTCTTTCCGCTGCCTTATTAATATCTGAAAAGAATAATCAACCCATCTGTTCAATGCTACGGAATAAAAACAAGATCATCAGCACATTTTAAATGAAAGCAACAACAAAAAACCCTACAATGGCAACCAGCTGGTGCAAGAAAATCCATTCAGCAGAGACACACTGTCACTTTGGCGATTTTTATTAAGTTAAGGCAGTACACTGTCATGAGCTGATATGTAAAAAGATGTCCCTCCATTTTGTTCCCAACATAATTTGTGTAAATTTGATTACGTCAATATTTTAATACCTGCCAAGCCCTAAACCTCTGTCCAAAGGGAGGTAAAGGTTGTCAGTTGGAAAATATGAATTATTTTTTGCTGGGAGGAAATTTAAAAGTTCGGGAGAAAAAAAGAGCAAGGGTAAGTAATTCTATTTTATGTTATAAAGAAGCTAGAATTCATAGTCTTAAAAGTTTCTAATATTCCATGAAGCAGGACCTCTCCTTTTAGTGAAGCTTGTGTGTAGGAAACAGATTAGTATTTTTAAAGTCAAAGAATATGACCTGTTAACATCTGTAAACTAAAGTAAGAATGGGCATCTGGTAGAGTAGGGCACGTAAAAACCCAGTCCTGCCAAGTGTGGTATGTACGCTTTCAATCTCAACACTCGGGAGGCAGAGGCAGGCAGATCTTTGTGAGATCGAGGCCAGCCTGGTCTATATAGTGAGTTCCAAGGCCAGCTGGGGCTACAGGGAGACCCTGTCTCAAAAACAAACAAAACACACTCTAAATAACAAAAACAAAAAAAGAAACCATTCCTAGTGAGTTTTCATTTAGAGAGTTGTCATCTCCAACTAGAAAAGGAAAAGCAATCTTAGAATAGAATATTAGGAGTGCGTAGAAAAAAGCCAATGAGTGTATGCATTTAAAGCCTGCTTTGCTAAAAACAAAATACACCTACTTTACAAAACTGCAGTGAATAACAAAAAATGTATTTTAAGAAGTAACTGAGTATTTAAAGAAATTTGCTAATCCTCCCTCGAAATAACTGAAAATTTTATATAAGTGCATTAGAATTTTCATACTTCAGATAAATGAAGCAAACTGCTTCCTTTACAGTAGTTTTATTTTTTATCCCATTTAAGCAATTAATGGCACCAGATCTAATGACTCAAATGGTATAAACACTCACATAATTAGAATGCGCTAAAATAATAATTATGTATTTAGAAAATCCCAAGTAGTTTCTTATCATGTAAAAGACCATAGCAGAATGAAAAACTTAATAGTCTGGCATAGACCTAACCCTGCTATGCTGCCAACTTTTACGTTCTTGTTCAAGTGATAACAAGCTGTAATTCCATTTAAAATCCAAAGTCTCTGAATATAAATCTAAGTAGACTGAAAAGCCTATTCTACTTAAATTGTTCCTGACCTTCTGAATTAAGCAGACACAGGACATAATCTTCTCTACCTTAAAAAGTCAGGAACTATTTTCTATGCAAGACTTGGCTAGTAATATCTAGCCAGAGCTCTGATACTGCTGATGGAGTCAGGATTTACAGCTCTTAAGTTCACAAATGTTCAAATTATACATTATATAATGATAAGCATTACATTCAATATCTAATTTTTTTCAAAAACAATTTAGCTTGTGTTTGTGTGTGCACATGTAGAGGTCAGAGAACAACCTGTGGGAGTTGGTTTGATCCTTCTACCATGTGGGTTCTGGGACCAACTCAGGTTGGTAGGCTTGGCAGCAAGTGCCTTTACCCCTAAAGCCATCTCTCCAGTTCAGGTTTGGAAGGCTTACTGACCTACCCTGCTCACTTTCTTTACATTGTTTTCTAATATAGGATTCAGAGGAAATGTAATGCCTGCCTTTATGCAGTTTTCAAAAATATCTCTGGAATACACTGGGTCTGGGAGCATAGAGATTTCTTTTAAATATGTATCATACATACATCAGTAAGATTTCATGTAGTATTAAATGGCCTTCTGAATAAAAAAACAAAGTTCATCTAAAATTTGCCTAGACTTGGCAGACGTTTAGGTAAAAATACAGAATATATAGTACTGGCTTTATTTTGTGGTGGTGTTTGTAGCCCAGGCTGCCCTGAACTCCTGATCCTCTTGCCTCAGCCTCTGGAGTGCTGGGATTACAGGCCTGCGCCCTTATTGCTGTACTCCATATGGGGGATCTCAACTGATAAATTTCTCTTAGTGCTGTACTCTCCCCTCTGCATATGAAGAGGGTGTTACAGTGTATCCATTCTGCAAGTGCTACCACACAGGATTGAACAGATCAAGTGCTTATGTATTATTTGAGGCAAAACTGGTTCCAGATAGGAAGAAAATATTTTACCACCAAGGTGCCAAAAACTATTTTGCAATCAAAAGGTTATGTAAGTAACATTGAAGATTATATGTTTAAATCATTTCTATCGCAATTGCTTTGTAGCAACTATTTTCAGTGAATAATACAAAGCAATGACATATATGGATGGTGTTTTTGGCTACAGAAAAACAGGATTTTCAGACTGTTTCCTTTTTCTCCTTTTTTTTCTTTCTCTGAGTTTAGCTACCCCCAAATTCAGGCCAGTCCTGTACAGCCCAGGCGGACCCCATATTCAAGACAATCCTCCTGTCTCAGTCTTCCAAATGCTGGGATTACAGGTATAAGTCATCATGCACAGTTTGTTTTTCTGTGGTGCTAGGGGTGGAACTCAGAGCTTATGCATGCCAGGGAAGCCCTCTGACAATGAGCTACTCCCCCAACTCAAACTATTTCCTACTTTGGAGGCCAATACACTTAGTGAGGTGTGTTGAGTGTTTTGACTTTTCATCTTCATTTCAGAGCTCCTTAATCTTTCACCTTGGTGGCATACAGAGAATGACTGGAAAATGCTGGTTAAGAGTCTCATTCAAGAGGACTGCTCATGGTTAGGATAGGGTTGAGATGTCTTCACTGAGAGTGGTAAAAAATGGTTACCAACATCATTCCCAAGTCCCTTAAACCTTAACACACAGAACTGCTGGAAATCTGATTTCCTGTCAGTTGGAAGTTTAAACAAGTTTTTCTTTGAAAATGCACATACTGTTACTGGTAAAGGAGCTTTTGTATTAATCAGTTTATTTTCTGGCTGAATCCTCAGTTATATAATCAACATCAAGGAAACAGAAATGCTATGAGTATAAAGGAGAAGGAAAAGGAGGTAGAAAGACAACCAGAGTTCGGGACATGAGCTGGGGAAGCGTGACTGGACAGATGTGAATCAAGTGGGGGCAGCAGCAAGATGGCATCTTTCCAAAGAGAGATGGACTGCTTCCTTGAGCTGAGAAAGGGAAAGCACTGCTTTTTTTCCATTCTGCCATACTTTACTCTGGTCAAATGCCTTTAAAGACCCAAGTCAGTCTCTCAATGTCATCTCTACTTTAGCCTGGATGCTACCTACTTTCATACTTTGGTGATAACATTAGCAACGACTGCCATTCAATAGTACCATAATTACCATGAGATACAAAACCTTAGCCTGAATATAATTTCCAAGTGATCTTCTGAAAATTTCAAGTTAAAAGCATTTTTCAGTTAAAGATTAAAAAAAAATTTTTTTATTTCTATTTTATGTGTATGAGTGCATGCCGAGGTCCCACGGAGGCCAGAAGACAGCACTGGATCCCCTTGAACTGGAATTAAGGGTGGGTATTAGGGACTATGTGGGTGCAGGGAATCAAACCCAGGTCCTCTGGAAGAGTAGTTAGTGCTCTTAACCACAGAGCCATCTCTCTAGCCCCTCAGTTAAAGATTTTTAAGTCAAGAATACCAATACTAATTCAAGGGACTTACATAAAAAGTAAAAACTCGGAAAAGAATTTAGAAGACATGATGTTATACAGGAAGTAGCAGAACCATTTTAAACCACGAAAAAGTGGAGTTAAGAACTCCCCAAGAATGACGTAATACGAATCGACATTTTGTTTTAGATTAATATGACCAGACAGGGTTCACAGAATGGTCCTTGAATGCTATTTTAAAAAATTTTTTATTATTTTTAAATATGTATGTGTCTATGTGCATGTGTGGGTTATGTGCATGTGAGTACAGGTGCCAGCAAAGGACAGAGGCACTGTATTCTCCTAAAGCTGGAGTTACAGGTGGTTGTACGCTGACTGATGAGAGAGTTGGGAAATGAACTCAGATCCTCTAGTGGAGTGCTTGCTCTTAACCACTGAGCCATCTCTCCAATCCCAACCTTTTTTTTTTTTTTTAAGTAGATCATTATGAAACAATTTTTTGGCGGTGCTGGGGGTTTGTAGCTACAGCATGTCATGCATCTGAGGCAAGCACTCTACCACTGACCTTCAGCCCTAGCCCTTAAAAATAATTATTTTCATCTTAAAACTAAATTTCAACTTAGCAGGCTACAGGTTACAGCAACAGAAAATGAGGATGAGAAAAGCAGCATGAAGCTCAGCACCTGAATGGCTGCATTACTGCCAGCTGTTTAAAGAATCCCAACGCCTACACAATTCTAGTCGCTGCCAACAAAAAAATAAAATGCCCCCCAAAGTACAGCTGAAAACCAACCAACACTCTCAAATAACTAAATTGTAATTACATATGGATAGATAACAGCATTTGGAAAACCATACTGACAAGGTAGTGGATATTACACACTGAATTTCCCAAATGGGGGGGGGGGGGGAATGACAGAAGTTCTAAGTAGAGATGACTTTGGTGATACTGTAACACCAGGGATAAGGTAATGAGCTTTATCTTATCAGGGATAAGAAAATGCTAAGTATGTTGCCATTTCTAAATCAACCCTTTAAGCTAACTTCCCTTTGAATACTTCAAATACTCTCCTTCATTCTCTAAAATATTGATTTTGTCTTTAACTGTATTAGCATAACATTCCTGGGAACAGACATATACAAAGTGCTTACTGTGTTCTGAAGCCTGAACTAAGACCATCATGCAGTTATTTATTCCATTCTTTCTCAATTCTTCAAGTACTATTATGATAGCTACTTTGCAAATG